AAATAGGCCAAGTGCAGCTACTGCTGTAACTACAGAGAGCTCGCAGATACCTCAGGTTGTTGCATCGACTGAAAGAAGCTTGGAGGAAACGCTTCAATGTGACTATTTCAGAAGGGTTGGTTTTGTGTGTGTGTTTTTTCTCAACCTCCTTAGTATTTGTGTTTGTTTCCTTGACCTCCATTGTATTTGCTTCCTGCAGTTGTGACAAGTAAACTCATTTGTTATACTCTGAAAACCCTTGTGAGAAATAGGTCTATGGAAACGTCGGGGGTTTGTAAGGCTTTGCATTTGGTGTCTTCCTATTTCTGCCCTTCTCATTCCTCATCGATGGTCTCGAGAAACCCTGCTACAGGGTGTTGGCCAAGTCTGAGATCAGGACTCCCTCTTGTGGTACCAGCTCTGCCAGGCTCACAATGTGATTCTTTCTCAATGTTGGTTTCCTTCGCTCCTGTTCCTACTGCCTCTAAAAGCCTTGATTTAGGGCCTTGTTGGTGACTGGCGGATGTATGATTATATTACAATTGCTACATTTGGTATGTACTAAATTGAGCTCATTGTGATTATCGATAACACTGATAAAGTAGAGCTGTGTGTTTTGTATCCCTACAGTTAGCTCTCAAATTTGCCCATGTGTCTTAATGTTATGTCAAGATGTGGAATAGGGAAGAATTGGAGAACTCATCCACACAGCTGCCAAGAAGAAACACTTGATATATTAAATCATAGCAATAGTAAAGAAAGTTGATACAAAAGCACATCAATATTCACTTTGGTTTTGCTTTAAGGGGCATTCTCTGTCTTCTCTTATTTCTTCTGTCTGCTAAATAACTGGAGCAGACACGTCTCTTAGTTAGTCTCTTAGTTAAGAAATGCTATGCGCTCATTGTGCTGTAATTATCACGAACAAACCAGAATGCATCAGGCACCAGAGGTCTCTGCTCCCACTTTGTCGTGTGTGTGGCATCACTGGCAGTGGGAGTTGCTGGCTGCATGTCCAGGACATTATTCATCAATGTTTTCTGCCAGACAGAGACAAGAAGTGGGACAAGGTGTGCTGCTCTGCTGAGTAACAGCAAGTTGTAGGGCATCTGTTAGAGGTATACTGCATTTTGTTAGTTGTGAAAACACTAACATAAATATATATGACTTTGGGACAACCATTTAGGTGGAGGAAAAAAGGAGTAAAAACTGGAAGGAAGCAATTGCTTGCTACAGAGCATTGACTATTTGATTCTGAGGGGCATGAGGACAGTGATAATAGAGCACTTGGTGAATGCAGTTTGGTTTGCAGTGGCAGTGTGGTTTATACTCTGTATGTATGGTTGGTTTAGAATCATAGAATCATAGAATATCCTGAGTTGGAAGGGACCCTTAAGGATCATCAAGTCCAACTCTTGATACCGCACAGGTCTACCCAAAAGTTCAGACCATGTGACTAAGTGCACAGTCCAATCTCTTCTTAAATTCAGACAGGCTCGGTGCAGTGACCACTTCCCTGGGGAGCCTGTTCCAGTGTGCAACCACTCTCTCTGTGAAGAACCCCCTCCTGATGTCAAGCCTAAACTTCCCCTGCTTCAGCTTAACCCCGTTCCCGCGGGTCCTGTCGCTGGTGTTAATGGAGAAAAGGTCTCCTGCCTCTCGACACCCCCTTACGAGGAAGTTGTAGACTGCGATGAGGTCTCCCCTCAGCCTCCTCTTCTCCAGGCTGAACAGGCCCAGTGCCCTCAGCCGTTCCTCGTACGTCTTCCCCTCCAGGCCTTTCACCATCTTCGTAGCCCTCCTCTGGACACTCTCCAACAGTTTCATGTCCTTTTTATACTGTGGTGCAGTATAAACTGTGGTTTAAATGCTGTTTGGGGTGTTGGTAATCAGCTTGTAGACTGCCGTCACAACAGTGGTAGGCAGCAGTGGGATTTTATTGTGGCAGGCATTTTTGAAGCTGCAGGAATTGGAAAGGTTTGTCCTGAGGATGGATCAGTCATCACTGCCCAGCAGTATGCCATGCCAGGTACCCAAACACTGCTCAGAGCCTGCTGCTGGTAGGAAATTTTCTGCTTTTGTTGTTCACTCCCTGCTAAGGAAGCTCTTGTTTTGGGTAGCTCCTGTCCAGCTTCCAGCGTAGTAATGCTCTTGTACAAAAACAGTGCCATTGCTCCAGAATTGTGCTGATTCTTCAAAAGATCAGGCTTCCATCTCATATTTTTCTAAGCTGGCTTGCTTACTTTGCATTCCATTCTTTATTTTGGAGTTTTAACGAACTTGTTCTTGGCAGCATAAAATGGGATGAAGCCAGATTCAGTTTGAAATGCCTTTGTGGCATAAATAATGAATGAATAGTGTATTCCATTTAAAACACAGAAAGCTTGCTCTGGTGCCCTCCCTGCCACCGGGATATTTGCCTGTGTTTGTGCTGCCTGCTTCACAACAGAATTACAGGAAACAGTCACCTCGGGTTAAGCCCATATATAGTTCCTTAGTAACCCTAAAATGGTGTTTCTGCCTTAATGGATTTGTTTCTTTGTTAGATCTCCTATTTATTAAAGGTGATAATCAATCAGTTAAAAGGCTAAACTCTATCAACCCTACCTCTCTATTCCTTTCTATTTCTGTAGCAAAGTTAGTCTCTGCAGTAACTTAATGATTTTTAATTCCCCTGAGGCACTATTTTTCAAATTAATGATTTAACAGATGTTTTATTCTAGAACTTAAATATCAGAATATACCTGAAGTGTACATACAGGTTGTCAGGTGCAGTAATGAAACAAGGTGCAAAAGTACTTTGGTATAAGTAATATCAAAATAATTATGTAACTTTCAGAGGTTTCTGTACGTGTTTGCATATACGAGGTACAGTATGAAGCTGATATGCAGACTGTTCTCCTTACTGTTGAGTTTTTAAGGCATGCACTTTTCATTACAGATTTTTTAGGGGCATCTGAAAGCTGCTAGGCTTTCTTCACAGCTGCATCATGTTTTGAGGTTTACATTCATTTTGTGATTGAATAAAAGCCATCCTTTCTTTTGTCTTTTTTTTTTTTTTTTTTTACCCTTCATCCATTTGAGCAGGAAAGTCTGTTTTTTGGCCAAAAAAAAAATCATTTAAAAAATGATGGTATCATACCGATTCCATTCCTGTACCCCATTTCTCAGAGACGGTCAGATATGGTATTTGATACATCTTAAATAAAAATAAAATTAATTCTGTTAACTCTGCTTTTTAAGTTACACTGTATTAAATAAAACGTACAGTTTTGATTCTTCTGCTTTACTATGGATTGAACTTCTTAATGTTATTTAGGAAGCAGCAGTAGATATAACAGTGTTGAAATGATCGTAATCTTTGATAACTAGACAATAATAAATAATTGACTTCCATTGTTGGAAGTTAATTGAATTCCTTTTTTGTATACATGTTGTGTCCAATAACCCGCTGTCCTGAGGATAACAGGGAGGATTTTCTGTTATCATCTGTGGCTTCTTTGTTTTGTCCTTCTTCAGATTAACAGAGCTAAAGCCCTTGAGAACTGAGGATAACAATAAAAACAATCAAAGAAAGGATAGTATTAAAATAGCAATAAATGATTTTGCTGTGCTTGTGATGCCTCTTAGAGGCACGGGCTGGGTTTCGTTGCCGTTCCGCTCCTCTGAGGTACTAGAATTTTCCACAGCCAAGTGGCGTGTGGTGGCATGGTCCCTTTTACTCCATGTGGAGGTCAACGAGAGCAGGCCTAAAGCTGGGGCCCAAGTGATAGATAGCCTGCAGTCCTAACAGCGTGGGGAGTAGCAACTTTTCTGCTTTCACCCAACTTTGTGTGTGTCACTGTGGAAGGAGCAGTCAAGGCCCAGGGGTCACTCTCCACCTGCCGCCCAGGCCCACGGAGAGGCCTAGGGCTGAGTTTCGGTTCCCTCTTCCCAACCTTCCTGCCCCTTCCCTACTGCGTGAGGAAATGAGAGTGGTGATACGGGGATGTCACCGCAGAAAAGCTCCTTCAAAAAAAGGGGAAGGGTTTTTTTCAAGTTGAAATGTGGAATCTCAAGGTGAATAATTTTTGCTGAGGTGCCCAATTCAACCATGTTGCCATCTGAGTCAGCAGGGCTGCACTGTCTTAGTTCCCTCCTTGGCCATTGCTGTCATCCTGGTCAGGTTTGGAATAGAGACCAGCTTTGTGGTGGCAGCGATGAAATGGAGCAAGGTGGAGGCTGACAAGGGGAATTGAGAGTACTGAAGTTCAGCTTGCATTGCAGGAGACAGGAACAAAACCAAAAATGATAAAACCTTCCTACTGGTGATGCTTTTGAGCTCAAGCCATGTCTATGCAGCAAGCTGAGCCTGACACGGCAAAGAAAGTTAAGATCTTCAGGTTTTTGACAATTTTTTCACAAAAGCCAAACTGCTTCATGGTCCTAAAGAGATGAGTCAGATCATTGGCATTCTGGAAATGTATCTACTAAATTATGGTTGGTTTCCCCACCTTACAGTCTAAGACGGTCAGCTTCAAAATAAGCATTGGAGGATCAGGGAGGAGGCTTAACCAGCAGCAGCAAAGATGTGAAATCATCAAATTGTGTTTTCCTCGTATCCTTTCCCTCAAACACCTGCCAAACCCCTTTAAAAACAAACTAGAGATACAGTTGTTGTTTTCGCTTTTATCTAAATGCTATCATTTGCACATAACTATCTGTATTGGTCTTGAGATATGTTATATGAGCTTCACTTGGTTGTGGATTCAAGTATTTTCTCAGTGTATTGAGGCCTGCAAGTAATTATTTTTTATTAGACCGAATAACTTTTAATTGAATTTTTGCTTTTTATACAGTCTGTTCCATTTTCTTGATTTTAAAAGTTAAGATTAGTTTTATTTTGTATAATAAAGCACTGGCTTAACTTGCTGTCTGACTGTAGGATTACATTTATTCACTTTTTTTTTTAATAATTACAGTTTGTTCAAAGTAATATTTCTGATGGTTCAAAAAAGTATCTTCTCTTTCTCTCTTTATAGATCTATCCAAGAACAGATTAACGGAGGTTCCTACGGAGTTGTGCCATTTTGTGTCACTGGAAACACTAAATCTATACCACAATTGTATTAAAGTTATACCAGATGCAATAGTGAATTTACAAATGCTAACTTACTTAAATTTGAGGTAAGTTTAAGTTTACCATACTCTCTGTTTATTTGCAAATGTGTAAAGACTTGTTTGTATGCACTTTGTGTTCCTGGAACAATTGACTGCATTTTTCATTTTATTGCAAGCAGTAATGCAAAAATTCATTGCCTGTAGATATAGTTCCATATGAAGGCAATGTAAAATCTAAAACTAATTATTTAAGGAATGACCGAGTAACATTAATCCTTTTCTTTCCCTTATTCTAGCAAATTGAGAATGCTAATCGTATCAGCATGGTCAGATTCTTTTCATTCCCTTCTGATGATAAATTTTATAAAGTTTTGTATGGGTTTTTTTTGTAGTTAGAGAGATGGAGGGACAGAGGATCAATATTTTCTTCATGGGGGATAGAGAGGAAAATCATGATTTTATTACTTATATCCTCTTATTATGCAAGATACATAATTAATGCCTTTTTTTTAGGAAAAAGGGACAAAAAATTAAGCACCTTTGTCTCTTTTCTGGGAAAGCTGTGTGTGGATGCTAATCCATATTGAGGATTTCTATTGCTTTAAATGCAGTTGAATGCATATTTCCTCTTGTGAGAGGATGTGTCAGCACTGTCTCAGCTGGGACAAGATGTGGAGGTTTGATTGCAGTTGGATATGTAAAAACTGTAATAGTGAAGATATTACTATCTTGTATTTGAGAATGAGGTTGAACAAGGGGGCGAAGTGGTTCTTGTGCTTTTAAATCCAAGGTATGAAGGCTTGGTCTTCAGTCTTGTAAACACTGAGCATATTTCTCAAGCCCTCCTGTGTGAATTACTACTGTACTGCAGTTTTGGCTACCATGGAACGCTAATTTTGATTTAAATAACTGAAATAGAATAATGTGTCCTGAGTATTTGCACACATGTAAAGAATACGGCACATGTAATTTTGAAGTGGTATTACAGTTGGATACAAAAAAAAAAATTAAGACTGGATGAAATCAAGTTTGCTTACGTCATCTTGGTAAACATGGGAATTAGAGTGAATTAACTCAGTGTATTAATGGAATTTATGTAAAGTGCCACAAATCCAGAATACTTAGAATTGATATTGTGTATCGCAGTAAATTAGACAATTTAAACAAATGGAAAATTTTCATGTTTTACTAGGTAATTTCTCTCTGCTTAAAATCTCCTTAAATAGTTTTCTTTTGGACACGGCCTTCCCATATATTAGGAAGGCTGACAGTAAGCAGTCTGTAGAAGAGAGTACAATATCCTTGACTTTCTAACTATGTTGCTTCTTGGCAAGAAAACATGATGAATTTAAAATGAATATTTTTATGTGGTACCAGGAGAACATGTATGTTAAATAGAATTAGGAAGTGATGCCAAGAGATGTGTATAGGTTTGGGACCTTGGTGGATACTATTTATGTTTTATTTAAGGGAATTCCTTTTAAACAAATACGACAATTTATTACACACATACACTGGTTATGTGCTTTTCCTTATCTCTCAGTGGATTGCTTCTGAGCTCTGTAAAACTTAAAACTTAAAAAGTAAAAAATCTTGTTATTTTTGTGTGCTTTATCTACTGGGTAGATACGTTTGCAGATTCTGCATGTTCTCAGTTTGACTTCAGTAGAACTTAAAAATAATTTTTACTTCTACTCACATTTTGTTATTTTCTTGTGGTGCCAAATCTGCTGTTTAGTGTAACCTTTTCAGATTTTAAGCTTCCTAAAATAAGTAAAAATAAGTAGTAAAATAAGTGTTAGAACAATACCTTCTGGCTAAGGCATTCGGACTTCTGCAGAAAAGACAGAAGAAGGCGATGCATATATTATTTTCTTGAGTTACATGTTTCGCAGATCTGATAGTCTGCCTAGGATTTTGGGGAACTCAAAGATTTTGGACAGAGGAAAGGCTTGAGCATTAAAATACATTAATTCCATTCCTTGTACAGCCTTCATGGATGAAACAAGGCTTTAATCCGTGTTTAGTTCCACATTTCTGAAATAAGGATGTTGTCTTTCTTTTTATATTAACATAGCTTTAAGAGAGGCTGGAGGATGTAATCTCTACTGTCTCTTGTCCCATCACCTTGTATGGTGCATTGTGCAGCAGTAACACTTCCACAGATCAGTAATGCGTATTTGTTCTTTGGAGTGCTAGCAGTCATGCAGAAGCTAACTAAAATGGTTGTGAACAGGGCGCTGCTTTACTGTTCATTGTTTTCTAACAGGTTGATACCCATAAAGAAGTTACATTCTATTAAAACAGTTTAATTTTCTAGGGAACGTGGTAGTTAATGTTATTCTGTTGAGCATAATCAAGTTTCTTCTAGCAGTTGACTCACAAATCACAAGTTAATGTTTATAATCATGCAGCATTTGTCATTTTAAGTTCAAGCTTCTTGAGTAATTGTTATTAGAATGAGAGCCTAAATCTCTGGAAAGTTTTCTACCAAAATTTACTTTCCCTTGTGATTCCTCTTCATGAAAATACTATATATATATATATATTTTTTTTAATTTTTATTTTTTAAGAAGTAAAATCTGAAATCGCTCATGTTGGAGAGTCAACATGAGATAAATGTATCAATTTTAGGAAAAAGTAAGATTCAGAGATAAAATGGTTCAATACCAGTCTTGAAAGGAAGTCAACCATTGATGGTTTTTTTTTTGCTGTATTTGCCTTATTTACCTGGGATATGATACTGTATCTTAAGTTGTATTTCCAAGAAGAATCATCTTATTCTCTGCTTAACAAATAAATAAATCCTCTGGAAACATTGGAAACCTCTGGAAACCTTGGAAACAAAGGGTCTTGAAGCATATGTTCAAACCTCATATTACAGCAGACATGTTAGTAACAAGAATGAATGGGATAGCCCACTGAGAAGTTTGAGTGTTTAGAAAACATTGAAAACTAAGAAATTCTCCGACATTTGTCTAGTCACTTGAAGGATCTGCTGTCTTGGAATCTTACAGTCTAAATGTTGAAATATTTTTGAAACTGATTCCATGTTTATGCTGGTGGTCTTGAGAAATGGTATAAAAGCTTAAATCAAGATAGATTTTTGGATTGTGTCCAAAAAAAGTGTAGCCGCAGACTATAATTGCCACATAAGCAATTGCTTTAAGAAAAAGGAGGGAAAGAAAGACTGTCTGGATGTGCTGGAAGACAGCTCTCATTTGTTCAGGAGAGCCTCTGACTGAAAGGTTTGGGGCTGATCCTCTTTTGTTGGCTTTACTTTAAGTTGAGAAATATATGGCATGGTAACTAATACTTTCTCACAGAGATTAGATCCTATGTTCTCCTTGTTAGAGAATGTTCTTGTGTGTTCCAAAGCAATGCTGATGAAAAATGTAGTGGATACCACCCTACAAAAGTCTTATTTTTGCTTGTGACTTAATCGTCTTTAGGATGTAATCATCTGAAACGTTGGCCTCTGAGGTTAGCAGATACCATTTTTAGGATTGATGCAGTCTACCCTTCATTATATTTCAAATGATAAAGGAAAATATTTTTCAAGAATGTGACTTATGGGTTAAATCAAAGGACTTTTTGCTTACACTTTTTAACACTTAAATGGACTTTCTTTGAGATATAGAAGACATTTATCTTTCCTGTTCTTTGATATACACACCAGCAAAACTAGAAACAAATTTGTCCCTGATACACTGAAAAGTTTAAGATGAGTAAGGTAATCAGAGTACAGTGACATGTAACGGCAGTTTTTATAAATAGAATTAAATTGAATTGGTGCCTCTCTGCCTTCCCTCACTCAGGAGGGGGATGGGGATAATGTTATGGCTTATATTCATTAACGAATGCACAGGAAATGGATGAGGAGCAAAAAGGATGCACATTTTTTTTCCTCCAGGTTTTGGTTCCTGAGTAAGAAGATAAATTTTCATTGCTAAGTTTGAGATGTCTGGGATGGGGGAGTAGCAACATTTTACAATGTTATTAAACTGTTATAAGATGTTTTTTCCAGAGTGATACTATTCTGCAATACTGTTCTAGTCAGTAATTCAAATATTTTTTGTGCTTTCATAATGATTGCAATTCTAAAATTTGCATTTTATCTGCATTAAATATGTCCCATCAAAATGAAGGAGTTTTACAACTCTGTCTTCATGTGAGTAAGAATATTACTGGTGTTCTTAATGGTTGTTTTTCTTTCTTTGTTTTGTTGCAGTCGAAATCAGCTTTCTTCTTTGCCAGCTTGCCTGTGTGGTCTTCCTCTAAAAGTCTTAATTGCAAGTAACAATAAGCTAGGTTCCCTTCCAGAAGAGATAGGTCAGCTAAAACAGTTAATGGAACTGGTATGTTACTGTTTTTGTTGATTTTTATTTGTATTTAACTAGAAAGAGTAAAATTCTATTTGGAAAGATATTTGAACAAATGCCGTATACTATAATGCCAGTTAAAAAATTAACTTCTGCATTTCTCAAGTCTATTGAGTAGTAACACAATAAAAGTTTCCTTTATGGTCTTCAGGACCCTTCAGAGCAACACCACTGCCCTTGTTCATTTAAAACTCAGCTTCTAAGTTTTTCTTTGCCAGTTGTACTCACCACGTGCACTGGCTCCTTGTTTTGCTGTCTCAAGTTTCTCTTTTTGGCATCAGTCTCTGCAAAGCTCTCTGCTCCTCTTATACCACCCCGCCTCCTGCTTCCTTTCTCTCTTGCAGTGCTATCTGCTTACCACACTGCATTCCACTAATGATACTGATCTTATCAGTCTGTTTTCATTTTATTTCACTATTTTTGTCATGCAACCTTGTTTTCCTGGAAAACCTGTCTAAACAAAATGATTATATTCCTCTTGTTTTTCAAAGCTGTCCAACAACTACAGTCTCTGAGTGCAGTATTTAAGCCCTAATATATTGTCCAGTAACTAAGAATCAGAAAATGCAGAAATTATTTGGTACCTTAACTTAAATTTTATGTAACTGCATATGGTTTTTAAAAGTTTGTATGTGGAAATTGTGAAAGCTTCCCTTTCTCCCCTTCCTCTTTTGTATATTGTTAGCCTTCCTGAGTCTCTGAACTCCCTGTGGCATGTGTTGTGCCTTCTGGTTGTTTCTGTTCACCTTGACCTTTTAAGATAAAAATTGGCAAACTACTGTTTGATACTGCCAATTTATGCGGAATAAAACAATGGTGTGTGAACTTTTTCCTAACTGCTATCGTATCATCTCCATTGGTTGCATTTATTTTGCAGGTCTTCTAGGTATCTGAATGTGCTTGTATATCGTATTGACATTTTTATAAAAATAATTTCTAAATTCTGTTACAGAAGTTGAACTGGCCTTGCTTGGGGCCCCAGTGCCACTATGGGTTCCCCATATATGAAGCAGCAACTTTAGGGCTTTTTCTTTTCTTGTATTTGTCTTGTGCAGTGCTTTGTGGTGTCAGGCTTATACTATTAATTGTAAGTGAACTTAGAGTAAATTGGTTTAGGGGAGGGAAGCAATTACATTTTATTTTCTGGGTTGTACCTGAGCTAAACACTGCCAGGTTTGTGGTGGTGTTTTTTTAATAACTTATCAAGTCGTTTAAAATATCTTTTTGTTATGGGTTTAATTAAATGACTGAAATGGTTTTGACTGAATTACCTTCAAAAACGTGTTAGGTGGTGTCTTAAAACTGGTTCAGTAAGAGATCATAGCTTCACTTTTATATATAATTAAAGCTGAATAGCACTAAAGTGTATCCTAATTTTGGGGATGTGATGGCTGAATAGAATTGTTAGAACTTGAAGAAAGTCTGAATCTAGCTCTTTGTGATTAGAAGAAATAAAATACATGAATAACAATATTTTTTTAAGTAGGCATGCATCTACTCTGATGACCTGGTTACTTAGGTTGATGCTACCATGAGTGTTTCATGCATTTCTAGTGAAATAAGTTGTGTTACTTAGCTGGAAGTGACTAAACCGCCATGCAGCAAATAGTGGTAGGATTGAGAGCCTGTATCTGTATTGGCATATGTAAGATGATGCAATTTATACAATAAGGTGATCATTGTTCAAGAGCTAATAAGGAAAAAGATGACAAAAATAAAAAGGATTAAGTCATGCTGCAGTTGTTGCACGAAACATTCAGCTGTGTGAGAGCAATGCCAGCCTGAACAGCATGTGGCTTTCAAGCGACACGGCCTGCCAGCCCTTTGGCAGGGCATGCTCTTGTTTGTTTTGGGACATACACAGCTCTGGTGCTGACCTGGCCCAAGGGATCGATCCTGAGTGGCGGCAGACACCAACTGGTTGCATTCAGTTCTTGTGTTACTAGGACTTTGGCAAGAATTTTCAGTGAAGATTTTCAATGAAGATTTTCAGTGTTTTCCAGCTTTTCACAGGCTACTTGCAGTAAAATCTGAGTGTATGTAGCAAATTGATGTTTTTATTGCTGTTATCTAACTTTTCAAAACGGTTTTTACCTCTGTGGCCTCTCTAGAATGACATAAACATAGTTTGCTGCAGATTAGGTAAGATATTTCCAGCTAATTCTGCTTCCTTTCTTCTCTTCTTTTTTATTACATGTTTATATATAGATAAATGTCACCATCATAACATAGTATGACTTACATATTACATGCAGTAAATTTTTATGTATTCTTTTAAATTTTAGTCTTAGGTTCTGCTGTGTAGTCAGAGAGTTGTCTTAGAAGCATTAAAATAACATATGAATTATTTCCCCTCCAGGATATAGTCAAAGTATTTAGAAAATTGGTTTGGAAACTTATTTACAGCTGCATAACCTGATCATACCTCTACTGTCAGTCAGGAGGATGACTGCAAAATTGGTGTGAAGACTTTCTGAAAGTTGCTTTCCATCCAAGAAAGTACTTGGGTAGGGATAGCTCTACGATCGCACCTGAAGCAGCTGTAACATGTGCAGTAAAGCTCTGCTCTCCTTCCTGTTGGGCAGCATTGCCCTTCTGCACTCTCAGGGGAAAAGCTTTCTCTGTCTCTGGAATGCTCCTTTCTTATGTTGGAAGCCTTCAAATCCATCTGCTGGGATTTAGGTCCTTTACCCTGTTCATCAAATCTGGGCCAGCAGCCTGACTAAGTGGGATGTGCTTCCTTCTGTTTTCTAAAAGGATCCATGTAACATATTCTTAACATTCAGTGTGACGTTGTATTTCACAAGCTCTGGCAGAATCCACATACTTATTAGAAATAACAGGAGCCCCAAATTTTAAAATGGGTGCAAGGAGGAAGTTTACTTTGATTCAGAAGGTTTGGATAAAATCCCGTATGCCAATATTGTTATAGTGGAGTTAGGTTACTGTATGTGTTCTTCCTCTAATATTATTCTGAATTTTGTTATTGTTTAAACTTTACTATAAACAAAGGAGAAAATAAGTTCTGGATTTGTTTTCACACCATTGAGCTGCATGCCACAGAAACTAATGTTAAATTTCAATAATAAGTCTTACATTTTTTAAAATCCGAGAAATTGTCCGTGTTGTTATGGCAGGAAATAACCGATGAGGACAAAACAGCATTCATGCAAGAAGTCTGGCCTTAGCTAATGCTAGCCCCTAGGACCTGAGTAGGTGTTTGAACTTCATTTCAACTGCCTGCAGATGTCCATGAAGCGAAGTTTCAATTTGCTGGATGTCATGTTGCTCTAAAGGGTTATTAGCCTGAAAATCATAGGCACTTGACTTTGATAGCACGGCTTCCATTACTGCCAAAGTAATTGGAAAGTTTAAGATAAACACTGTCTCTGTCACATACACACTCATAAAGTCTACTAAGCATAACTGGAAATAATGTTATAGGTCTTTGTTTTCCACAGCTATTCAAAGTAGTACAAAAAAAGTTGGATGGAAGTGTTATTAGGATCAAGGCTACAACTGTCTCTAGAGCCCTTGTGACTACTGACATGCTGTCATAAGAGATCAGTCACATTGTGGATGTTTTGAGAGATTATAAGAGGACTTGGGTACGCTTCCAGACATTTCTTTTGAAATTCGTTTAAAACTGTCTCTTTCCTTGACTTGTTCTGATGTACGTGCAGAAGTGTACTTGATCTCGAGTTTCTCTGCCACAAGGTGACTTCAAATTTAAGTTCTTTGCTCTAAAAAATAGGTATCTAATTATAAACTCATTTAAAGCCTGTAAATTGAAAACAGGACAGTAAAGCTTTAAAAATAAATGATCTGGGAACAGTGCAATTAACAGTGCCGTACTTTGTGACAATTTGGGCAAAAGAAGCACTCATTAACTGGTATTTTTAAATTCCTTGTCTAAAAGCTAAAATAATTTCCTGACTCTGTTTTGACAAGGGAGGGAAGTTTTGGCAGCACTGAGATTCTGTTACGAGAAGAAACATGTCTGATAAAAAGAGCAGCATTGCCAGATCAGATTTTGCTACTGTTGTTTTTTTAACTAGTTTTTAGGATTACAGGTAGAAAGTTAATGTCATGCTTATGACTAGCATTAAAGCAGCTGTCTTCAAAGAGATGGCTCAAAATCTGACTTAAAAATTGTGTAGTTGAAGAGCTCCCAGGTACTGTATAAATCCATCATCTGAAACAGTCAAGAGTAGGAGCAAAGAGTCTAGCCTGTTCAGGAAAATTTGGCATTGCCTCACTTAGCTGACCTCCTAGGAAGCTCTGCTTCCCTTTTTAATGCAGAAATGGAAGCAGAACTGGGACATGGCTCACATTTACAGGTTACAGGCATGTAAGGAGAGGTTTCAATGTTGTTTTGATTTCACATTGAATGTAGACAGTTTGGCAGTAGAAGTGGTAGCTAATATGTGAAATCTCTCTTGTTTTAGACTGACTTAATCCAAGAAATTGTGGTGTTTTTTTTTAGTACACATTTGTAGCAGTTTCATGTTTTCAGTAGCGTTAAAGTATAATATTAGAGTAGTGCTAATGTGTAGAAACTGTTCCCTTGAAATAATGCTCAGTTGTTTAGCAATGATCAATCCTTTGGGCTCAACTCAACTTTACAGCAGTTATTCCTTTAGGAAAGCTGAAATAACTGTGGGTTGGCACCTCATCCAGATTGTTAAACCCCCTGAATTTATCTGTGACATGCTTAGAGTCTGTCTAGGTTCTTAAGGGAGTAGTAGCTTTTACAAGAAAATGTTGAATATCTGTATAATACCAAGTAAGACCTGTCCTATTTTATTATGTTCTCCTATTCGATGTGGTTATTGAGTATATGTCTTTCCTGAACATCATTACAGAAGGTTATTGCTGTTTTCTTTAATTTTGCTTAAATAGTCTATCTAGAAGAACAAGAACCTTAAAAAAATATATAAATAAAATCAGAGCCATACAGTAGCAATTTTACACTTCATCCAAACACTTTTGGTTATATAATCATGGTAGTAAGTTATTGATATAAGCAAAAGTTAGAAACAAAAAGGTAGGATGTTTTAAGCTAATCATTTTTACAGAAGTTAAATTCACTTTCAAAATTAACTCCTCTAAACAGATATTTACTCTGGGTTCTGAATAACATGTAAAGATTTTTCTCATCCATCTAGTTTTGCACTGGAAAAGCAGGGAGCATGGAAGGTTGCAAGTTTTCAGGTTAATAAAATGTTAAAATGGTAATAACACATTAGCTACAATTTCCTGTAAGTATTGTTTAACACTTCGGGGCCAAAAGTTCATTATTTCTGTTACTGTTGCTGTAGGATGTCAGCTGTAATGAAATCACAGCTTTGCCACAGCAGATAGGCCAGCTGAAATCTTTAAAAGAACTGAATGTCAGAAGAAATTACCTCGAAGTTTTACCACCAGGTAAAAAAAATATATATAAAAATCCCAATGCCTTTGCAGTAGTTATTGTCATTAGTATTTTGAAAATATTTTTAATAATTTAAGTAATAGTAGCAAATAGTAATTACCTTGTGTTTGAATTTATTCCATTTGAGTTTGCTGTGTCTCTGTAGCCTATAGCATTAAGTAGTACTTAGTGTGTGACTTTGTTAATGAATTATCTTCAAAATTTTAGCTACTGTAACTTGCACAAATTCTTATCTGTGAATGCAGTATGGTAATTGTCATCTGAGTTAAAAATAAATAAATAAATAAAATCCAAGTTTTTAAAAGTTATTGTCACCTGTATATCGATAACACCCTTTTCCATTCCCAGGATAGAATGGAGTAAATACTAGTCATGTTCCTGTCTGAGTTTGTATTTTTAAAAAAGGGAAAAGAGGATGCTATACACCGCCTTTTATTATGAGAGGCATATTCCTTTTTTACTGAGATTAAAAAAAAAAAAAGCTTTATTCAGAAATATTTTACTATTTTATGGCAAAAATAAGTACAGATATAACACCTTTTGTCTTCTTTGTTGCTTTTAGAACTAGTGCAGCTTCCCTTGGTAAAGTTCGACTTTTCTTGCAATAAAGTGCTTGTGATTCCCATCTGTTTTAGAAAGATGGTGCAGTTACAAGTATTACTGCTTGACAACAATCCTTTGCAGTCTCCACCAGCACAGGTAAGTAACGTCATTTAATTTGTGCCTTAATATTGGGTGGATGATAACTTACAGCCTATAAAATGCAACTTTCTGTAATAGCAGACATCTGAGCTTGTCAGCACAGACATTAGTAGTGGATATATAAACAAGAAAAAGCATCATAAGTGTGTGCACCATTGAAACCAATGTCACTCTAGAATATTTCCATTTTACATATGAATAAATCTACATATTTATTTTTGTCATTCCTATCTCCGTATGAAACCTAATGTGTGTATAACTTTGGAAAAGAGAGTTGTTGGGAAACTTCCTGGCTTAATTATAAAGTAACAGAATGTTCCAAGTTGGAAGGGATCCACAAGGATCATCAGTCGAACTCCTGGCTCCACAAAGGACCACCTAAAAATTAAAGGACATCTGGGAGCATTGTCCTAATGGTTCTTGAACTCCATCAGGCTCGGTGCCATGACCACTGCCCTGGGGAACCTATCCCAGTGCCTGAGCACCCTCTGGGTGCAGAACCTTCCCCTAACCCCCAGCCTGACCCTCCCCTGTCCCAGCTCCTTGCCGTTCCCTCGGGTCCTGTCGCTGTCACAGAGAGTAGAGCTCAGCGCCTGCCCCTCCGCTCCCCTCGTGAGGGAGCTGCAGGCCGCCATGAGGCCTCCCCTCAGCCTGCTCTGCTCGGGGCTGAGCAAACCAAGGGACCTCAGTCGCTCCTTTGGGCACTGACAGCTTTACGCTATGACTGGGACCTCTCCAGATTCCAAAGACTGTTGAAAATTGAGAGAGGTCTCACAATGACATTAGTGGGTTCTTTGAGGAACCCTGTGATGAATTCCATTGGGCCCCATAGACTTACATACGTCCAGCTGGAGTAGCAAATCCCGCACAAGTTCAGAGTTGACTGGGAGCTTGTTTCCCCAGTCATGGTCTTCCAACTCAAGGCTCCAGTTCTTTCTGTTAATAAGAGGCTAGTTCTAGAAGTTCTGTTGTAATTTACTATACATTCAGGCAGAACACAATCCATATGAAGTTTATTTTACTTTATATTATAAATGTACAGAACGTCATACACAGGGAGATCAGACTCCTGTTCTGAATATAGGCCATGCTGAGAAATAATAAATAAATGAAACATCTGCTTGCTGCTTCAGGACAGCTTTGTTGTTGACTTGCTGAACCCTAGATTCATCATACTGTATCTACTACAAGATGATCAACAGCTGTGGAAATACTTGAGAGTTTTTACTACACTGGAGAAATGCTTTTCATTAACTACAAATGGCTGTGCAGTTAGTAAGCTCAAAACATACGAAGGAAATTCCAGCAAGCATGTGGGTTAAAGAGTACGGATAGAGGGGAAAAAAAAAAAAAAGCAAAAGCCAGTGAAATGCATCATAAACATTAATGAGCAATAGTAGAAGCAATGTGACAAAGTGTAAAGAGCATGCTTGTTAATTAAATGTCACTATTGACTAATTTTGGAAAATAATTACTCACTTTGCAGTTAGTAATAGACTGAAATATATTTTATTAATCATAATCCTTTTGGAGCGGAAAGCAAATTTGGATCTTTTAAAGTAGAATAAATTTTTGTTGTTTTCTGTATTACTCCCAGAGTATTTATGCTAGTGATCTCAAATCATTATTTGGCTAATTGAAGTAGCTCTTAATTCTTAAAACAAATAATCTGTTTTCCTTTCTATTATGTTTATGTGAGTTAGTTTTCAGAGAATTTCACTACATGAAATTTGAAATACATTTTTCTTTTGTTCTAGTTACAAACCTATTTTTTTCCTGTCCAACAGATTTGTACAAAGGGTAAGGTGCATATATTCAAATATCTGACTGTACAGGCCTGCCAGATTAAAACAGCAGACTCTCTGTATCTTAATGCCATGGAACAGCCACATTTGCCACAACCTGTGGAAGAGAGGTATGAATAAAAATCTTGCTTAATTTTTTCATGTAATGTTTATGATCTTGGAACAAAGTGAAAAATATTTTTCATCTTATTCAATTGAATGCTGTTCTTTTTTTAAATTGCTGTGTCAATCTCAAATCAGTGTTAGAATTTTCAGGATGGTAATTGAGTAGGAAATAGAGCGTATACATATATATGCTTTTATTTATATATATAAAAATAATAGCTGATGAGTATTGTGTCTAATTGGGTGCTTTAAAATGAGTAGAGGTCATATTAGGCAATTAAAAAAAAACGAGATAGCAATTGCAATTATTATAGTCATTTTGTTCAAATATTAAATTTCAATGTCTATTTTAAAGACTCAAAAGGAGGTTTCTGTGTTAATAATTACTCCAAGCCCCAGGGAGTTAACAGCTCGTTTTAATGCATAAGTGGTTACCTTTAAATTAGTTGACTCTTCTTTGAGTTCAACTAGTTTAGTTTTTCAATCACGTGGTTTAATGACTTCAGTCAAAATCCTGTGCTACTTACTTAATAATTACGCATTTTTGTCTGGTAACAGAAGTAACCTTTAGGACAGATAATTTCTGTTTTCATTAATCCTTAAGCTAACCAAACAGTCTACCTGATCTACTTGGAGCATACTGCAGATGTATAGTTAGTAATCATACGAGTTATTTATTCACTGGCATTGATAATGGAGGGAATTTTGCTTTAATTGAAAACAGGACAGAATTCTAACCATGCATGCTATGACAGTCTTCTATTGATTTTTTTTTTTGTTCACATCTAGCATTGATGACATCTACCCAAATAAAAAGGACTCAGATTCAGGTGTTGGGAGTGATAATGGCGATAAACGTTTGTCAGCAACAGAGGTAAGTTGCTTGAATTTTGTCTACCTCCCTTCCCCTCACCCCCTTACTTTTTTTGTAGGGCAACCATGTGAATGCAACTTCAGGTATCAAAACTGTGCAACCACACCCTTGGCAGTCATTTATTAGTGAGAAATTCATAAAACAAAGATAAAAGGAGTCTGGGATTTTTTTTCTGGTTTAGTCTATGATGATGTTTAGTCTAGAGATGCCAGTGAGATACTTGATAGTAAATGGACAACAACCTACTAGTAGTGAAAATTCAGTATGGTTTTCAGCCAGTTTAGATAATAACTTAAAGAACAAGGTCCAAAACAGAATACACATTTGTTTTTTCCAACAAACTGTTATATTATATGTCTAGCTCCTTTTCACTTGTTTTTTTTGTTTTGTTTTTGTTTTTTGTTTTTTTTCTTTGATTTGTGAATCTTGTCTGTTTGGAATTAACAGGAGTTCAGTGTGCCTGGTCCCAATGTGTTCTGTGGTGTCATGGATATGACAGTTCAATGGAGAGTAAGAACTTTAGGAACTTGCAGATTAGTGTGTTTACATGCTCTGGCAGACAGGCAGAGCTGGAAATATGCCTTCAGAATTTTTCTTGAGCTATTTTGTATGACTGGGCAAAGAAAAAGACAGCTTTCTGAGAGTAGTGTGCTACTAAGCAGTTACAGCTGCATTTCCTAGACTTTTTTTTTGAGGCTACACTCAGTCAAACAGGGCGCTTAATCATAGACAGGTCTCTTCTTGGGTACTCAAATGACCAATTAAAGTTGAATTTTATTAATAATAATTTTTTTCCCAGGAGAGTGGCGGAGTTGCCATCCCTGGACATATGTAAGAGATATGTGGATATGGCACTAAGGGATAGAGTTAGCAGTAGACTTGGTGGTGTTATGTGGATGGTTGAACTTAATGATCTTAAGGGTATTTTCCAACTTAAACGGTTCTGTGAGATAACAATAAATAAATAAATAACTTTAGTATGCTTCAGTGATGATATTTTTGAAAAGCACAAATGAATGGACCTAATGGGAAATGCTCAGATATTCACAATAAAATATTAACAGAAAGAGAATGGACTTCCTACTTAAAATAATTTTGCATTTGTTCTTTGCTTGTTTCTGTCTTCCTTTGAGGAAAAGAGTCTGTTGGTTTTGAAACTAATGTATAAAGAATTGAGATTAGATACTGAATTTGTATTTACTACAAAATCAAATTGAAAATTAATCCACTTACACTGTGGTCTTTTGAATACAGAATCACTTATAAACACAATGGTTGCCAATCATTTGGGCAGGCTTTTTACTTAATTGTAAGAGTGTGCAGCCCATTCAATGAGGCTTGCAAACTGTTTTGCCATTCTTATGCTTCCTGAAGTTGTTAGTTTGTTAATGAAACTTGTTCCAGAACTTCCTCTTCAGCTATAAATAACACCTTTACAAAATAGATTGTCTTTCTTGTAGTCAAAATGTAGCAATTGGCATGCTGCAGGAAAAAAAAAATATTTTAGAGAAAACTGGACTAAACCAGTATATATTTATAGGACAAAGACTTTTTATATGGGAACTGTTTACTCATTCCATCTCTGCCTGTCAACTGCTCTGCTGTTAAGGAGAAGATTGATGCTAGTATCAGTAATCCCAAATATGCTTGGTAATAAATTCACTACTCACTTTTCCTTCTGAGACCAACTTTAATAAATGTGCTACATATGAGAATTGTGGAAGAAATATTAGCATGTTGTGAATACAGATTCAAGTACATCAGTAATGACAGAAACCTCCATACCAAACACTAGATAAACATTAAATGATCATGCCTTTATGAGTTGTTGAATAAGTTTTTGGAGGGTTTCTATAAATGCATCAAATATATCAAACCAAGCTCCGCTTTAGTTTGAAAGCTAATTGCTGTTGAGTTTCAGCTCTTTTACAGAATGCTGCCAGGAGGTCATTTTGCATTTGTGCAATGTGAAAAGGGAAACTTAAATGAAGTGCTTGTTTGATTGAAAACCAATCTGTTTTTTGTTTGTTTTTTTTTTTTCTCCAGAAGCTTGCTAATTAGGTTTGAATACATACATGTGAGAGGGAATACTTGATGAAATTAAGTCTATTAGTCTGGCTTGTTGATAGGGTCAATTCTTCAGAGCTGTAGTCTTGGGCAGTTGGAGTGAAAGACATATTGTTGTAAAATTGATCACATCAGCTTGAAGACAAATTCTGCTTGAAGAGAGCACACTCCCACGTACCTCATCTTTTAGGAACAGAGAGTAGCAGATTCACTTTCTACCTTCCTTTGATTTTATTTTTTCCTCAGTTAAAATTCATTAGAACAGGAACTTGGTCAAGATCCAGATGGTGTTCCCGCTGCATTACCCGTAAGAGTGATGCTGTAGTACCAGCAAGGCTCCGTAGGAAAACTCTTTTCAGAATGCATCATCCAAATTGTGGTGGAAAATTGTTAGGTTTTTGAAATGAAAGTTGGACTCTTCAGCCTGTGCTTTTGATTCTTTATATCCTTTGTCTCTTTCTTTTGCTGGCTGAATAAAGGTAAAACTGGATGTAGGAAGTGAGATACAGTATTTCCCTATGAAGGAGGAATGAGGACTTTTGTATGTTGCTTTGGATAGTTTCTGTTTGATAGCATACTGACAGGAAACACCTGGAACATGAATTGCAGAGTGCGGTAGGCTATGGACTCTGGAAGTCCTATTTAGGTCGAGGGATTATTTTATGGGATTTATATTTTTTTTATTTATAAATTGAATTTCCGGTGGCTTACTGCTTTTTATTTACTTATTTTTACACCAACATTCCAAAATCTTTTCTAAAAGTTGTGGCTGTTTACTCTGCCTAGCCAAAACAAACAAACAAACAAAACTTGCCTCTTTTCAAAACTTTTAATAATACATGTATAATAATATTCTACTGCAATATTTTTGAAACAATAGTTGTGAGATTAACAAAACATAAAACTTTGATCTAGAGTAACTGAATTTAAACATCACATAAGATAAAGATAAAGGAGGCCTGGATGGAAAGACAAAAGAACTGTGATATGAGGCTTAGCTTCTTTTTGGTGGCTACATGGAGCCCCTTTATCAGCTGTCCAGGAAAGAAATGCAGAAAGGCAGCAACAGCCTCACTGGTAAGAGAGGTTTGGTGAAGTGAGGAATGTAGGAAAAGAGACAGAAGAATTGTGCTGCTTGGCAAGCCTACTGTGAGGATGTGTTCAGCATGAAAGCAGCTTCTTACACCAGGACTTGATCATGTTAGATGCACTGGTATCCTCTCTAATACTAGCTTTTTTAATCTACAGTGTGTTCACTAAGATACAATAAATAATTTTTCTCAGTCTTTGATTTGAACTGAAACCAATGTTTCTTTTATTCCTTCTTAGCCATCTGATGAAGATACTATCAGCTTTAATGTTCCAATGTCCGACATTGTAGAAGAAGATCAGGTTATAAAGGAAGATTCGGGTCACCACGCTAACTCAAGAAAAGGTTGGAATGTGAAAAAAGTGGAAGCTAAAAATATACATTTCTTTATAATTCTACATATAAGGCTGTAAATCAAGTTTGCAAAAAAACATGGCCCAAGAAGTATCAGTCAGTCTTCCAGAAGGCTACAAATGTCACCTTTAAATTAGATACTTTATCTTTGCTACTCTTTTTCCTTGGAATGGTCAGTGTTCTATTTTGCACTGGATAAATGCCTTAAATTGTTTTTCTTGCTTATACTGCTATCAAACAGCAAGTATTTTCATTATTAATTTTTTTCGAATAAATGCCTACCTATCTAGAAGGCTTCAAGCATACCTATGAAGTCATTTAAAACAGAAGAAAGTGCTACTTAGAATAGTTTTAACTACACTGAATCAAGATCCTTATAGTAGCAGTTTTGTAGCAGTTTCCATGAACTTGTTTCACCTTTCTCAAGAGTTATTAAGTTGTAGTTCTGACTGGGGGAAGAAGAATGAGAGACAGTTTAAACCATGCTTCTCAATCAGTAATACCAACAAATAGCTTTTGTCAAATGCTATTTCAGATTCTGAATTAGCTACATGTAAAAGTAGAGTCCATTTCAGATGGCTGTACTTAATGCATGTACATATAAAACTTTATTTATCAAAGCCAGCATTACATCTGGAAAGAAATAAGCATCTCTTCAGGTGCTGACAGTGTAATTTTATCTAAATATTGTTAGTTACACCTTTATCAGCATACAGGTATCATTAATAAACAGTGTTTCTCTAAGGTCCACACATACTACTAATAAACTGCAAGATAATGTTAGGGAGTTGTACGTGGAAACCATGTAAGTAGGAGATGAATCTTTCACACTAATGTTAAGTACTAGATTAAATGAACTTCAGATTCTCATCAGAATATAGTAGACCAATAAGTGAGATAGTAAGGGTATCATATCCTACGGTGTTTATCGATGCATCAGAGGGTAAATTATGGGATCAGACTGTCTCATTCAGAGGAGAAAATTATTATTGCCACGTACTTCAGGAAACAGTATATGTAAGCAGGAGATTCACGTTGTTTGGAAGGCTCTGAATTTTTTTTTTTTTGAGTTCTGCTGAGAGTTTGTGTTACAGCATTCAAAGTTGCATAAAAAACCTGCTAGTCACTGGCTGAGATATGTGACTATTGTAAAATCTGTAGCTTTCCCACTGTGTTCTTGTACTGGTACTGGCAAGGCATTTTGTGTAACTCAAAACTGACACCATCAGTGCCTGTTGTGAGCTGATCTACGACCATATGAGCCAAGGATATTGATTTATTACAGCTTTGGAATGAATTGGCATCGATCCCTAGAATGCAAAAGTCATAACTAGTTTGAGGTTTTTAATATGGTTTGAATTTAAACTTTAATTGTTTCTGAACTCTATAATCTGTATTCTTATGAGTAACAAATTTCAGCTGAACCAGAAATCATTCTATCTTCTGTTATTGTTGTTTTTAGTGGAATTCCATCAGGGATCTTCTCACTTGATTGTCAACGATAAGTCAAGAGAAACAGGAAACCAGTTTGATGAATCGGATGCTCTTACTACTGAATTTATGAGTTACATTAAGGCAAGTTTGTGATCAATTTTAAATGGGGGAAGTATCTTCATGGCTTTCCTAACTATAGAACAGGCAGGAATAACAAACCGTAGACATCTTAATGAATAATATACCACAATATTCATTGTCATAAAAGATGCAGAATGCAAACGTAGATAAATTTAAAATGATGATAATTAATCTAGTAAATTATTATACCCATAACTCTTTTCTAGTTTGTGAGTTGTCCTTTACCGTGTGGCTAAGGCTTTAAGAAAACAGTGGTTCAATAAAAGAGATTACAATATTGAAAGGTGGTATGACAGTATTGCTAGAGTAAGCACTTTAATTTATTTGTGTTTTGTTATCTTAACATTATGGCAGTTGAGATCAGCAGTTGGTGACAGGTAGTTCATCCATTCCATGCTGAGGATTTTGAACTGGGGGGTATTCCTTTTCTGCTGCAGATCTCTGACTCTGTTGTATTCTCTGGTTTATACTTTGTCATCTACTAACATGTATTTTGGGACATCTAAAATTGAAATTCTGGTTAACCAAACCATACATTAACTCAGTACCACTTGCTGTGCCAAAAGAGGGCTTAGGTTTGGAAGATTTTGTGTTTTTCAAATATTCATCCTAGTTGGTATGGCTTTGTCTTATCTGTATAATTATGCCCAGAAACTGAGGTTTGCCTTCTAGAACAAGTGCTGTTCTTTTTTACCTCGTGATTTATGCCCTTATGGGAAAACTCAAATACTTCGTTTCTGTAATAATTAAAAAGGATGAAAAGAATGTCTTTATTCTACTGGGGGTTGTTATTGTGAAATGTGCCATCCCTGGGGAATGTTAGAGAAGCTGCTACACTCCTCAGTGGCACATCTGGCAGAATTGGATAGTGTTTACTGGTGGTACAGGGTGATGCGGCATCTGTGCCAAACCCGTGACACGAAGAGGGTAGGCTTCTGTTTTATGCTGTTCATTCTCTACCAGTATAAATGCACGTCCACTCAGAGAGCTTCTGTCTGTAGTGGCAGCTAAATTACTTCAGTGTTCTGCCCATCCAAAATGAAGAAAAGAAATTTGAGGGATTCAAGTATTCTAATAAGTAGCAGTTCATAATTACAGGTAGGACAGTGGGAGCTCTGATTTATACCTACACCGAACCCAAAATAAGTGGCCAGCTGATATGAATTGTTGCATGCAGTTTTTTTTTGTTTGGTTGGTTTTTAAATCAGAACTGTTAAAAATGGTGAAATAGGGATCCTGTTAATAGTTATGAATGAAACACAGAATTGTTACTGTTTCCATATTTGGAATTTCCTTGCTCTGTAAACAAATCTGGCTGTTTGAGGAGAGCAAGTTAAGATTACAGTTAAGGTCATGCTTAACTGAAGCATTGTTTGCATACACCAGAAAGGCACAAATGAAATCTGGGACATAGAATAAAGAATTCTCGTGCTACTTGACTTTCTTTTTAAAGTTAAAGGAAGATGAGGGATGTTGGCCTCAATAAAATCTGATTGTTGAATAGAAGATCAAGTAATTAGTGTCTGAAAAGGGGGTAGAGTGAGGAGTGGAGCAAAAGTGTTGGATTGCTTCAACTAGCCACCCTAAACTGTTAAATAAAATAGGTCAGTGCTGAGCCTGAAAGGAAAAATTATCTGCCTACTTAATTGCAAAGTTCAGTTCTTAATCGCTTTGTCTGCGTACAGAGCAGAGCAGCGGAGTGCGATGAATTATTGAGAATAGAAGAGGATGCACAATGGCAAACAGAGGAAATGTGAGTATTTTTGTGTGTGTCTATAAGTAATTAATTGTATTGTTTCATTAGATGACCAAAACTGGTCTTTCCTTCTCAGTTAATAATTTTGTAGAGTTGGAAGTGTGTGACAGAAGCACAGCCTTGCACTCTCTATAGGTGCTCGGTGTTTTATACATTATTGATAAACAAAGTGGATCTTATCTTGCAACTAATAAAGGCACTAATACAGCTGTATTGTGTTTTTTAACCTATGTAGAGGCCAAGCTTTTTAATTAAGTATTTTGTTATTTAGTCTGCTTACGGCATCGTTTTTGTTCTTGTTTTAGGAAAAAAAAAGATTTTATCAAAACTTATAAAATCTAAGATAAATGCAAATGAAAAAAAAATTTGAAACTCTATCAGTCTCTTTTCACATTGTCATAATTTTAACCTTGAAGCAGCCATTAATTCATAAGCATTAATTCAAGAGCAGTGAACATCAGTCAGTGACAAGAATGCATAAGAAAGGATGATTTAGCACAACAGTGTACTGCGAAGTTCTCACTAAGCAGAACAGTAGAGTCCTATGTGATTAAAAACAAATACTCGAAGGAGGGAAAAATAAGTACTTTCTGAAATAGCCTTGTTGGCAGAACTAATGGGTGATTGATTGGTTTCTAAACTCCAGAAAGCATTGCAGATATTGAAAAGCAAAAGAAAGCATGCTGTCCATTTAAAAAATCACTGTTTTTAGTAACAATATATGTGATGAAAGCAATTACTAAGAGTCAAATATTAGTAAATAAATTTTCAGCTTTAGAAGTCAGGCTACTTAACTGAGATGCAAAAGTTTTAGTTTACCACATTTGTTTACCTACGTATGTATTGGATTGGGGAGTTTTGTTAAAGGTAGAGTGCTGGTGAATTTTTTCTGAAGACACTCCATAAATTTAGCACTTTGTGTGCATAGAGGCTGTTCCCCCATGCCCTTACTACTTGCTGTATCCTTGATAACTGCTGTTTTACCCCTTTTTGGATGTTTTTGTTTTCTATTATAGAATAAATTTATCAGAAGAACAAACTATTGATATAGCAATGATAGAACAACTAAGAGAAGCAGTAGATTTATTACAAGATCCCAACAGGTATGCTTAAAATAGCTGGTGTCTTAATGTCATATATTTAAAATATTTGTAAATAGCTTTTGGAGTTCTTTTTAAACTGATAATTTAAAGTTCTCCAGAGTTACCAACTGTTCTGTTAGCATACTAATAATTTTCTGGAGGCACATAGTTAAGGCAGCTTGCATTCTCTCTTGTGCATGTACAGTATTTCTAGTATGTTAATAAGGATTTCAGGTATAAAAATAAAATACATTTAGAGGTGGAGAGACAGCTATTAATCTCACTCTGTACACTAATGTGATTTTTCTGAAGTTTCCTGTAGGATAGTCAAATTTCTTTTCAGGGCTGTAAACTATCCTCTACTCTTGCTTGATGTATTTATTATGTAGGGTTTGTAGAAGGTTTTGTGGCCCAGCTTTGCCCTGCATTAATAGGACATATAAAAAAGGTGCCTGAACTAGTGATGGAGTTCCTTTAGTCTCCTTCTGAAGCTGGAATGAGTAAAAGGAAGAGGCAGCTAGAGAATGTGATTTAGGATTCCCTCTGACTGTAGAAGGCAAAGTTGTTTCTAATTCTTTATGCATGTTCTAGGTGCCTAAAGCCAGGTGAAATGACCCTGGGTCTATGAATAAACAAAAAGAATAAATATTTAAAAGAAACAAAAAAAAAAGCTTGTCTGACTTAAAAGAACAGTTGAGGTTGTAGATAGCTCTGTCTGTATGCTTGCTATTGCTTTTCTATGTGTAATCCCTTCCAAAAACTGACTGAACTCATTTTAAAAACCAAGAAACTAATTCTTATTCATTGCCTATATGAGGTAGCTGTTTTAGAGCTTAGTTTCTCTGAAAATTAGACAACTCCTTATCTTTTCCAGTCTAAAATATCCTTGTTTTTCCTTCCTCCCTTGGCCAGTTTACTGTGTCCATTTGTTCTTACAACTGCTCTGTTCTTTAGTTTAAAAACTTATTTTGACATTGCTTTTTTTCACTTAGCATAACGTTTCTGCATTTTTAGGACAAAATTTCACTTCTGTTTAGTATTTAATGAGAAGGAATTACCTGGCGTTATTTTGAATCATGCAGAGAATACTTGAATTCTTGAATTGTATACTAAATACTTGATTTACGAGTATTTTTTCTTAAAAATAAAAAAAATAAAAATTAAAAAAAAAAAAATTAGGAAAGCTTTTTTTAATTCCAGTGGTTTCTGTGAGAAAGTATTCCATTGCTTCTGTACCTCATCTGAGGCTTATTACTTTGTGGGAGAAGTGCTGCTGTTAAACTGGAAGAAGTGACATTAAAAACTTTCAGTTCTTAGCCTTGTAAAACTTGTCACTTTGTTTATCAAATATTGCGTGATATTTCCTACATCTTTAGTTTTTGTTTTTTTTTTACCAAATTACAGAGAGCAATAAAATACAGAAAATTAATCTCTTAGTTTCTCCGTGCTTGTTCAGATGTGCTTTCAAGGGCACAATAGTATATATGAAATGTGGCTTTTAAAGATGACTTATGTCATGTATGTATTTATTTTTCTATGCCAGGTGCTAAGCAGGCCACTCATGTGTCTGTTTGTTGTGTGTTAACAAACAGACTTGTCCAGCATGACACACCTGGGTGCCTAGTATTTACCAAATAAAGCTGTTGACTTTCCATTCTTTGGGCCACAGGTTCGTCATCATTGCTTGCACAATTACTGGATGATACCGCAGTTTATATAATAAATACATTATATAAAGCTGTGTGATGAAAATTTTGTTTGTCATGCTGAGTAGTATTGTTATCTTCATCCAAATCCACAAAGGAGTATCAATGTTTGCATTGCTCTGTAACTTAAGATGCACAGAAGCTTTCACATGCTTTTAACTTAAGCCTACAGCATGGCAAAATTTTTAACTTTCCCCAGAGAAGTTTCCATTGTGCATTAGTATAATCATCTAATCAGGATAAATTTAATTTAAATAAGTGACTTTAGCTGGAATTATCCTCGTCTGACACTGAAAGCCATTTAGGATTTACAAAGTAGAGTCTGTAGGGGTTGAAGCAGCAGGTGATGCTGAAGCATACTTAGCATGCACTGACTAGAGCTCCATATAGAACATATCTACTAGAGCTATTTTCAATAACAAATATGACTATTTAACTTGTTAAATAAATAAATAAACATCCATTTGTTGTGCTGCTAATGGTCTGCAGAGTTTCATATCTGCCTATCTTCTGTGTACATTAGCAGTAATTCAGGAAAGGAAAAGCATTTCAGACTCAGTCTTCAGTATTTTTAGATGTTTCCTTCACTCCCTTTTCTGTATTCACTTCTTTCTTCTGATTTGTTGGCTATTGGGAGTTTACTGTTTTGCTGCTTTGTTTTCATGCTCTGTAAATTAAATGTGAATCTCTTAACTAGGGCTGTGGATTCTATTCAGACACAGGGTGCTAGAGGTTGGGTGTAGACATCTTCGGTATTACGTGTAGTAGCATGGTTGTTGGTAGTAAACAGGTCTTTTTGTTTTGATACAAGCTATTGTTCAGGATATTTTGCAGATGTTAATGTTGCTTTGACCAAAGTGGTGATCTCTTTTAAGAGGGAAAATTGATTGGGTTAATACCATGACTAAAAATATTTAATATATTCATTTGTTTGAAATTAAATACATAACAGAGCGATTACCAAAACTATATCCCAGTGCAATGTTTTTATTTCAAACCTTACAGATTAAGCATGGATATTTCAGAGAGCAGTGATGTGAATCTGTATCCCATGGAACCAGCAACAGCTTTAGAATTTCAGGAGTCCACAGTAAAGTGTGTTTATCTACCTTTTTTTTTTTGTAGAAAAAATATTGCATTTGTTAGATTCATCATATTTAAGTTTCTACAAAATAAATTACATATTTGCATTTGTTTATCTTTATACATAGCGGTCAAATGCAGATGGAGATGTCTTCCCTTGGTCAGGTACGTTAATGAGCATATTATTACAAAATACTTGGGGGTGAGGCAGGAAATGAACCAGCGTCAACTATTAACCTACCAAGTAGGTAAAGGAAAACTGTACTAGGATGGAGGATGCAACTAGTTTTTTAAGCTATTTTTGTGGAATTTTATGTATATGTAAACACTTTTTTTCTGCATTCATCATCTGCTTTTGCATACCATTTTTTCCTTTTTTACCTTCTGTGCAGCTTTTCTGTGTGCAGAATGAGTCATCTTTCATGGGCCATTTCTTTCATGTATTCTGTTGGCCATGAGAATAAATTACTATTGTTAACAGCTTAGCTGAGTGTACTCTTTCTATGTTTGAAGTGAATTAGTTTTAGATTTACAAAATTATCTACCTGTTAGCAGTGGACCTGCAAGTAGATTGTCTCTTTATAGTTCACTTTTCATCAGTGTTTGTAAGAAATACTTCTGAGGTAATGTTATAACAAAAAAATAAATAAATACACAATTCTGTTTCTAGTGATTCACAGTCTAAAGTAATTCATCTTGCAGAAAGAAAATGCTGAAGAAGAATTAGAATTTCAGAGGAGGAGGGAATTAATAATGGAGAAAGCCAAGAGTGAAGTGAGAACATGTGAACAGGGTGAAAAATGGCCATTGAGTCAGGTATGTAGGTGTCTAGATACAATAAATACGGAAACATTTGGAATGGAATGGGTCATCTCATTCCATTCATTGGTGTATGGAATTTCAGACCCTTTAGTTTAGGCCCTTTTGGGATTTGTTTTTGTTGTTTTTTGTTTTGTTTTTTTTTTTTCCCTAGATTGAATCTCAAGGTTTGACTGTACATGGGATGTTAAGTTTTTACCTATGTCTCAGGAAAAAGGCTGATATAATGAAACGGATGTCTTCCAATAAATATTACAGTAGTTGTATTTCCCCTGCCAAAAATAAGTCTCATCAAAGTTACATCTTCAATAAAGTAAACCATCTGGTTCCTCTTCCCGTTCACCCCAAATACCCCAGTTCTTGTAGTACTTTAATAAACTGCTGAATTCTTGTTCCCAGCAGTATATTTAAGGCAAAACTGGTTGGTAAGATTTATTTCTGTTTATTCTAGCTAGTGCAGTGGCTGAGGTAATATTATGAAAAAAGTCAGTAGCTGGGGATTTTATTTTTCAAGTTAAAGAGGTGGCCAGGGAAGGTCATGTGGCAAAATGGGAGTGAAATCTTCCTTCCCATCTTGCTAACTTCTTGAAAATTCTGAGCGTTGGGATCAAGTGTTTCAAGTTCTGTCTTATTTTGGTTTCCGTTTTTGTCTTGATTAAAAAAGTTTGCCTTAATGAAGGGGTTTTGAATTGATATAATTTATTTTTTTACCTATGCCAGTGTTTCTGCTGACCGAGTTACGACTAATACAGAATTAATTTAATTATTTTATTTCATAGTTATTTACGTGATTTCCATGTTTCCAGTTTTAACTGTAGCAAAAGTGGTAACAAAAGGTATGTTACATTGCAATTATGAAATGAGTTGCTTGAAGAATGCTTCCCTCTTCAAATCTATATTTAAAATATCTATTCACATATTAAACTTTGTGATGATTTAACTACAAAATCTGCAAAGCAAAATTAGCTATTACCTTTGAACCAACAAAGATTCAAATCTTACAAATTTGCTTATGAATCAGTTAGATAAGAAAAAATTGTGCAAATAATTTCCACAAGAAAATTTTGAAGTAGTCTCTTCAGTGTTCCTCTAGTAGTAAAAATACATATTCATTAAGATTCTTTCAATACAGTGCTGAAAAACAAAAAATGTGAAGGTGGAAAGTATTAATATCAATGAGTATCTGACTGTCAAAAGTAAAGTACCCTGTGGTGGTATATGACTAATACAATTTCTGAAACAATCTTTTTCTTTCTTTCCAAACATGCAGAATGATCTAATTGTTTGGAATACAAGTGGCCAAACCTCTCACAATGAGGTAAGATGTTAGTGCCATTTGTTTGTCTTTTGTATATAGATGATCATTTAGCTCTTTTTTTTTAAAAAAAAAAAAAAAAAAAAAAAACTTTCTGCATGAATGATTCATAGACTAAATAAAACATGTAATTGAACTTCACAGAAAATATGAGCTTATGAGTAGTTGCTTTGGAGGTTATTTAGCCTGTTTCATTTATTCTTGTCCTTATATGGGTTTACTAGAATATAAATAACATTTTCTGGTAAGTTTGTTTCTGAGTTACATAGCTTAGTACAAAACATTTAATCTTGGATCATTCTCCTTTTCTTTTAAAGTTGTCTTTGCTTCACAAGGATTTCCACTGATTACAACAGATTTTTTTTTGCACAGTTGTGTGTCACATCCTTGATTAGTTTTTCAAGAAGCAGCTAATTTCATTGATTGTTTTGCCATCACAGTGCAAATTTCAGCAGAAGTCCAAAAGGGAGACTGTAGGGAACTCTTTATGGAGATTATTTTTATTCATATTTTCTGTGCAGGTACAGGATTTCTTCCTGTACATTGCACTAAGTATGAGCAGCGCACAAACTCATGAGCACCCAGCCTTGGTGATGGGACTCTTATTAAATGATTCCTCCCAGAGGAATCATTTTGTAAATAGGATTCACACTCTGGAGTTTGGTTATAGGACTCTTCCCGTGTTGCTATTGATAGTATCATGGTTATACCTCACCATTCTCTCTATGCTCCAGTCTATTCTTCGTGCTGCGACTGTTAGCCTAGTTCAGTGTCAAGGGTGATCCTGCTCTGAGGTGTATGATTAACTTCCTACTTTCTGCATTTTAGGCAGAATGCAGTGTCCAAGGGAAAGTAGTTTCATTGAATTTATTACCATTCTATGTAAGAAATATCTTAGGGAAAAAAATGGTCTTTATTTTGTTCTCATAAATGTACTGTGCCACAAAAAGTATGATTGGAACCAAGTAATTTTGTGGGAGAAAACAAAAATAATCATACTTGTTTGTAGCTAGGGGCAGTATCTTGCTGTCTTTGGTCAGAAACTTAAGCTTCTCTTCCAGGAAAAAAAATAAAAATTGAATAAATATGGGAGGTTGTTGCATGTTCAATGCTATTTTGGGATCTGATTGTGGTGAAGTAGTTGTAGTGTGTGGTATTTGTAACTTTTGTATTTTATTCAGTCAGTTGTGCTGTGATATTCTGGATTTATTCTTATTTGGATTTGTGTTCTTGAATTACACAGAACAAGGATAAAAGTCCAACAATGTCTCCCACTGCAAACAACGCAATCCCTTTTGGCCTGAAGCCACGATCAGGTAATATAGGAAAGAAAATCAACCAATTTGTGTATTTTTTTAAACATCTGTGTTATTAATGGATGTCTGTACTTCTTTTTTTAACCTTCAGAAGGCAATGATGAAACATTCTGTACAATAGTTTAAGGAGTAGAACATTTTAAGGTCATAGGTGTGACTTGAAATTAAAATTATAACAGTTATATATTTTATATATTTTACGTTCAGAAAACATGTATGTATTTCTTATCCAGAAAACAGCTATTGCTCTGAAAATTGCTTACTGCAGTGAGTCTCTCAGTAAGATTAAGGTTTACTGGAAGATTAGATGCTTACTTCAGTCAGGAGCTGAGTTTCATGAATTTGCAATGTATTAAATCTCCATAACCATCAATCCTTTAATATGCAGCAGTTCATTTAAAAAAAAAAAAAAAAAGGTGGAGAGACAAACTGAACTGTTAAAATATTTGAGGGCTTGGGTAACCACTTCCTTTAAAAGCAGGATAAGCCACAGGTAAACTTACTTTTAGCTTCTGTGTGCTGAGGTAGTCAGTAGTGATTTTCAATATTGTTAAGTCATCTCACATCACCTCTAAAGAATAACCTTTTTTAATATGCTTTAGTATCTGAAAACTGTAATTCTGGTTTCTCACATTCACCACAAATGCTTTTATTCAAATGCTGGTAAACCACAACAAGCTTCTAGCTTGCTTCCATAACAAAATATCTTGGCAATAATGGCAGCAGTTTCATATTTGAATGTATTTTAAGAAATTGTACCCATAGATTTGTTTTAAAAATTTTAAAAAGTGGTGTTATTTCACCAACCTTGTTCTATGAAGAAGACATTTTAAATTTCCTGTTTCGTGACATACAAATGTGACATCTGTTTACTTGAATTTTGTAGTTGGTTGGACTGCTAAACTCTGCCTTTATTATTTTATGTTCCTGATGCTTTAGAAATGTTTTCTTTTAACATGTAAATTATGGGTTAAATGATGAACAAACGTGTCCTTCCATGACTTGGGGGGAAAAAAAAAAAGTAATACCATTCAGTCCAGCCATTACTGGAAGAAAGGCATGCAAAGACAAATGGTCCCACGCTGTGTTGCTACTTTCATAGGAGGTAACCTGTGTTCAGCTGGGTTAAAGCCGCTTCCAGGAGATGGAAGCAACATTGTAGGACTAAGTGTAAGACTGTGACTTTGTATTCAAGTGTTAGTTAACACGTATGTCCCAATCTTGGTAATCTCAGTGTACCAAGATGTCCTATACTTGATAACTGTGATACATAATCGAAGAAAAAATGCTTTATGAATAGCCTAGTGAATCTTTTTAGACAACTTCTAGGACTGGACTGCAGTCTCTTGCAACATTCCTACAGGTGTAGTGATGGAAGACCCAGATGATCACAACTCCTCCAATTCTTCCCCCGTGTCTTTTGAAGCTATATGAAACTTCATTAAATACTAAAGCCAGTTGGTTTTATGCTCCGTACCAATACAGATTTGTATATTTGCATTGCTTTGAGTATGCCAATGCTACGAAGCTGTTTGGTCACAGCTATGAGTTACAGAAAACTTGTTCATCTAAATTGAATTTTCCTTGCCATACTATGCACTACAGAATCACCAAATGAGAGCCATTACTGCACAATTTTTCACCTCATTGCATGCAGTTTCTGTCATGTTACCGCAGATTTATACTGTGGTAAAACAGGTGAATTTGGCAATAGCAAAACTTTCCAACATCAGATAAAGCAGCAGTATATTAGCTCTGTAGCACAATGGGGCAAAGCATTGCTATAGAGTAGGGAGACTGCATGTTGTTTCCTCCCACCCTCCTGCTATAGAATTGCTGTAAAAGTAGTATTTAAATTTGTTTTGCTAACACTTCTGGAAAAAATTACAGATAATAGCTCAAAATACTGGCATATTTGTGAATCCTGAACATCTGTCCTCTTAAAGCTGGCTAGCCTGCCATGATTCTCTTGTTCCTTCCCTGTCTTTCTTTCAGTTTTGTGAGAGTTTCAACCACTTTATCACTGTCTGAATTTGTGCTTGTTAATTATATACTGCTTTACTGCCCTAAAGCTGAGCTGTTCTAGAGCTCCAGCAGTTCTGTGATCCAGGAAAGTTTTTCAGCTCAGTCTGTAATTTATTTTGTTAGCTTTTTCATTTAAGTTCTTCATGGCCTTAGGGAAAACTTCAGAACTCATTGGAAGTGATTTTTAGCTATTTACTTCATTAAGGCTTTTACTTGAATTACTTGCTCCTATAAATCTTTTAAACCTGAGGGCAAGATAGATTTTAAAAAATTCTGTGTACATCATGTTCTGTGGGGAAAAATGGCAAATGGTCAATGAAAATATATGCAAGCATACCTTTCTGAAATTGGAGAGTTTATTTTCACAACATTTATTTTCATCTGTTTTAAATGGATGTTGTTTTCTGTTTGACTTTTTTTTTTTTTTTTTTTACCCTCACTGTTTCATAATGACATGTCTTTTGGAAAGGTGAAAGTAAACCATACCAGGCTCCTGGTTAATGAGTCTAGTTTTTTGAAGTGCATGCACAAATAGAAGTGCTTCCAAAGGATAAACCACAGTAGCTTAAACGTCTGTGTTAGTATATACTATATCAGTATATACTGGTATGTGTTCAGGACTGAAGGCCCTTTTATTCTTTCATTTTAAAATGAAGATAAAACATTGGAAAACTCATATCTGATGGTGGTCTGGGTATCCAAAGAAAATGTTTTGAAAGGTAATGACTGTGTTTGACTTCTTGACAAATTCTTTTCAAGGATCAGTTGTTTACACAGAAGGTAAAAAGAGATTTTTTTTTTCCAAATTATTTCCTCTTTTAAAATATTTTATAGAGTATGGCTTCTCAAATAAATATTCAATTTTAAAACCTTGTAATTATTGGTTCCTTTCAACAGTAATTTTAAGTTTACTTAGAACCACAGTTTTGCTCTTGGGATGTGCTTTGGCACTTGGAAAGGGAATCACTCAAAACAGATAATATAAGTAAATGTTTTATACGTGATTCATGAAGTAATTACAACTGGTATCATTCAACGTTTTAGAAACAAAGTATTGCAAAGTTCTTGCCGTAATCCTTAAAATGAGATAAGAACATCAACTAACACATCTTGCAGCATTCAAAAATATTTTATGCTTTTGTTCTGTGCTGCTTTGACTGCGTTATAGTTTCTGCTGAACAAAGTGGCAGCAACCCAGACAAAAAATAGTAATTGTACCTTTAGAGGATAAAAGAAGCACTGACATAACTTCAAACGACAATGCAGTTTGTAATGGGACGTGAAAAGTTGTTCCCTTGTTTACTTAGCATAATCTTACATGTGAATCCAAATTCTTCATTTTCATAATCTGTAGAGGATTTACAGCACGATGTTGGTGTATGTGAACATGCTTGCCTCGCTGTCCTTCAGTGTTGTTGGAGCACACGGTGATTATTAGAACTTGACAGCCTTTTTCCCTCTTTCAAGAGTTAGTTACTGCTTTTCTAATCTCTGAATATTTATTTGTTCTACTTGTTTTCTCCCCAAGAAGACCAACTGGATTATCTGTGTACTTTGGAAAATCATGCGAATCCTAATTGCCAGTGTAATTAAAGACTGCTTATTATTTTCCATAAATCAGTGTTCTGTTACCCCATGTTGAATTCTTCTCCGAGTTTAGGTTATGCTGACTCAGTTTTGGCTGACCCATTGTCCCAGTAGCGAGAAGCAGTAAACAGGCTTTGAAAAAAGGGATATCTAAGGAGAGAGAGCTCTTGAACCGTTGAATGTGAAAGAAAGTTTAAGGTGAAGTTTTACACAATGTTGTCTGAATTATCATATTTTTTTAGTACGGATTCCAGAGTCATGGGGGAATGTGAAAGTCTACGCGATGAATCTTCTTATTATTAGTTTGGAATGGTATAAAATGGGAATTTCCTTTACTTAAAGTAGTAGGTAGTATTCAGAGCAGAAGTAGTTCATTCTCCTCAAACTAAACTGGAGATTATAATGTGTACGTGATTGTAGATAAAAACGTGGAAAACCAAGAAGCAAGGGAAGAGCTCATTTTGATGGCAGAAGTGGTAAAGAACTGAGATCAGGTACAGGAAAAACCCATTGAGGAGTGACATTATTGTTAAGACTAAGGAAGGAGGGATTTAAATTCTGTGATGAAAAGGAAGAAACCAGTGGAAAGCTTTGAAAGGATGGATGGCGTGCTAAAAATAAACAGAGGAGATATTATAAGGGTGTCAGTTTCCATTTCAGAGATGCTGGAGAATGGAGATTTGGAGAGAGACAAGTGTGGAGTAGATGTGATGGGGAAGGAATAGAAATGTCCAGTCAAGGATTTGAGGAACAAATAAGAGGGTGCAGAATGGATGGAAAATAGAGGCTATATTGCTGTGCAAGTTAGCTCCACAGTGAGTATCAACTCATTTTATCAACAAACACACGCGGGTGGCCATGACCATGGCATGCTTTTACAGTTGTCTGGTGAACAGGGTCTCCAGATTTACAGCATCTGTGGACATGTGATATATTTTATTCTCTAGGGAGCCCAGCTGGATCATTACTGAATTTGTGCTTGTTGTAATGCTACAGAGCAGGTTTGTCAAGGCTTGTGGCAAAGACTCAGGATCATCCTTTGGCAGTGTCACGTCTCTGTTCCTCATCCTTAGAAAGTCTGCCAAGGTTGGTGAGGATCAGAACTTCCCTAGGATGGGGGTGGGCCCATTGTAGATTTGGACTTACTGTTGTGGGAGTCAGCAAGAAATGTAAGCAGTGCAGCATAAGCTATTAAGTGATTAAACCAAAAGGAAAACATGTCTAGTACATGTGCTTACAGGGCGTATTTCAACAGAATAAGAATTATAGGGATAATAGATTTGTGACCTAGCAACATTAACTGGGAAGTTATTGTAATAATATTTTCATATGGATATACACATTATGTTTGGGGGGGTGTAGTGTTCTTATGACAGTTACAAAAAAAACTCAATTCCTCTCCAAACTTTTTCCTGTAATTGCTGAAACTTCACAGCAGGTGTATTTACCTTCTGATTCACAAAGTCAAGGTTTTCATCAGGCTGTAACATAAAATCTATGGGTACTTTTTCTTAAAACCTGGTTGTAAACAATTTGTTTAAAGTGCTATGGTTACAATGCTCCTGTTAAGCTTAACAGCTTTAACTGCACATGCAATGTATAGTTTGCAAGTACTAACATATAACTTTTCGCTCTTTTTATTCTGCACCATCTTTCATTCTTTTCTTCCAAAAAAAAAAAAAATGCATTTTGTATTGATCACCTTTGAATTGCATCTTCATCATTGCCATAAAACCCTAATGCCATGTATGAAATACTGCTGCCCGCCCTTTTCCCCCACCCCGGTCCTTACACCACTGTGTTTGGACTGGCTGTCACTCACCCCCAGCAGACCCATCCCTCAGTCTTCCTCCTATCTCCTTCAACACACTGACACAGGCACAAACATGGGACAACTTTAGCTACAGTATACCATCTGAAGGAGACAGTGACAATGGTAGGTGTTCCATGCATAATTTACTTGATTTTATGTTTTCAAAAACCGCAATATGTGGAAAATGTCCCAAGTGGCTAAGGATGAAAGAAAGTACTCATAAGGGAATGTTTATAAGACCAAATGCCTCAAAGGATGCGTGTTAATTTTCTGCACAATATGTAGTATCGAAAGCAAATGCATTTTTATTCACAATTTTTTTAGATAGTGACTCTTAAAAATATCGAGCTCCACTTATTGAAGGTGTGTAACTAACTTACTTAAAGAGGAATCCATGATGAAGCAAAGCTGGAAGAATCAGATAAGCAAAAATAGTGCTTTCTGTTCGAACTGTTAGCAAGCTGTCAAACTTCTCTGTTCATACTGAAGGCCATACATTAGTGGATGTTGGTTTTGCTTCTTTTGTTTGTTTTTTCTCCAAGGTGTTACTGTACGTTGAGTCAGATGCAAAGTTGATCTTGTGTGGGCTAACAAGGTCTTACACTGCATTAATATTTCAATGTCAGATTGCATCAGATTGAAGAAACAGAACCTAAATGAAAAACCATTTACAAATCTTTGTTAAATAGATGTATCATTTAAAAGTAGGGTGAATGTTCTTCCAGCTGCCTTAAATTAGAAGAGTGCTTATTGGAAGGCAAGGAAACTGTCAAAAGCATTAGACTGAAGCCAAGCCCACAAATCTTGAATGATAAATACCAACATTTAGTTTAGAATACTTATATTCTTATTTCAGTTCACTACCTGACAATACTTGCTATTGCCACTGTTTCCTTGACTGTAAAGTCCTAGCAGCATATGTAAGGAACCTGCTCTTTAAAGTAATTTGCAATGAAATGCAAGTAGGTTGGAAAAATGAATCTTGTTGCCACGATGGTATGAAGTTATCTTGACATATTGCCAATGACAACTCTAAAGGCAAGCTACAAGTACTTCTGACAATGCAGGGTCTGTTTGTGTTTTAGGTCAAAATAAATAAATCATTGGGTAGGTTACTCTTCCTGCAATACTGGTATATCCCAGACAAAAAGCAATTAGTGCATTGTTTATTCTTTTTTGTTTGTTTGTTTTGGAAAGGCCTATCTTTTCTGACAGCAGTAATCTGTTGGCAGTTGAGGAAAATGGAACTCACGTAGTTGATTTTATTGGACTTGATGTTGTGTATTTCTGACAGTGAGAATTTTATAAAGGCAGCTCAGTAAAACATAATTATTAGGAAAATAATGCTTCTGCAGACCCTTTCCTGTTAAACAGGAAGAGAAGTATAGCGCTTCCTATATAATGAGTGTTCCAAGTAATAACACACAAAAATTGAGAGCATCTTATTTCAAGAATGTGGTAAAATCCAAGTTCTTTTTTCTAATTTTGAGAAGCTGGTTACAGTGTCCTGATAGTCTTTTGGATTTCTCAGCAACATCTTCAAATTGTACTTGCTGCAAGAGAATACTTTTCATGATTTTATTCAACGTTGTACATAATGAAACCATATTCAGGAATTTAGCATTTGTTCTTTGACTTCTATGCAGTACAGATGTCAATAAAGATTGTAACTAAAAGAGTAGTTCATGAATGTTTGGTGACTAAAATTTTGGTGACCTTGGGTAGAACCTTAAGAGTTCAACTGGCTGTACACCATGGACATTGGATGTCTCTGAATTTATCAGTTAAGGGTACATGATAGTAACTTGATTTTTTTAAGCAGTTTAACACTGTTGCATCCAACTTTCTTGAAAATTAATACTGCCTATAGTTAACTTGCATTGATTTAAATGTAAAATAGATTCTGCTTTGCAGTCCTTTGAGACTTCTGAAGAGTACAGTAGTGGTCATTCAGACTTGAGCCTGATTTGAGATATATAGCCTGAAGCTAATATTATCTTTCCCTTTATATAATGTTGTCCTGTTTCTTTAGCACTGTGCCTCTGCTTTCATCACTTCTGAAGTGGTGCAAGTCTTGGAGTTAAACTAGAACATTCCCACATGAACAAACAATTTCTTTCAGAGTATATAGAAATCAATTATAAAAGACTTTTATTATTTCATTGCTATTTTTTGCAACCTTTTAAATAAGTTTTCATAGTAGAAATCTTGTCTCACTGAAAATATTCACAAGGAAATTTGTTATGGTAATGTGTAGACTACATAGAATCACAGAATGTCCTGAGTTGGAAGGGAACCACAAGGATCATCGAGTCCAACTCCTGTGTCTGCAAAGGACCACCCAAAAAATCAGTCCATGTGTCTGAGAGCATTGTCCAAAAGCTTCTTGAACCCCGGCAGGCTCAGTGTCGTGACCAATACATACTATGTGCTTATTAATAATTAACCATTGAGCTTATTGAGTCTTGTAAAATACATAAATTCATTGGAAAAAGAATAATTTGATAACCTTCATTCAGTAAGCAGAAATTCTACTACTATCTGACAGGGAAAAACAGACCTTCAGGCCTGTGTGTGTGAGATACGGGCTCCCCTTGCTGGAAAATGTGTGTAATGCAGAGAAGCAAGCAATATTTCAGACTGCCAAAATATCCTGGTTTAGAAAACTTTTCTTTAAACTTCAGTATGTAGCTGGAACTTGTAGTAACCAGGACTTCTGAGATTTGTGTGTGTTTATATACATTAGTTAACCTTACTTTATTTTTGTTTAATTTTTGCAACTTTTAATTGCAGTTTCCCACTGCCTTGAGATTAGCCTTTCTGCTGCTGCTTAGTGGAATGTCTGTTTCATTTAGGAATAGGATCGAATAACTAATGTTGCCATTTATTTTTCATTAATAGTCTGAAACCTGAAGGAACTATATTTGGGACATTTATACTGACTTAGCAAAGGCCTAAACAAAGACAGCTAGGGCCAAGCTGAATGAAGGCCCTGATAATATTCCATGCTACTTGCAAAATTGAACATAATATGCTTTCAAAGAGAATTATCTTTGAAATGTTGCTGCTAAAGCTAGGGTGGCATTTAAATACTATTTGAATAGGGTATTACTCTTTGAGCATTAAAACTACGTCTGTGTGAGTCAAGTAGTGAAAGGAATCAAGTTTGGTAACCCAGGCCGTAATTTATTGCATTGTATTGTTTATTGTGCCTTGGGTGAGTAACCTAAAGGTATGTCAGGAGCTGAGCTCCATCTTTACTGTGTAAGTAAGCAATAATTGCTTCCTGCTCGCTGAGCTGCCTTAGGTAGTGTCTTTCTCCCTCCTTTTGACCAGAGAAGTAGCTTAGATTATTACCATTATTTATTATTTCTTCTATTGAAGCTTTGTTTTGTTTATGTTGAGCTGTGGATGCTAGAGAGTGCAGTTTTGCCTGTTAGCCCTGTACTGATCTGGGAGCTTCATTAATGTTTCAGTTTGTCAGAATGTAGATGAAATTTCCTTCTACCAAGACTTCAATTTCTTATTTTCCTATGTATTTTAAGGACTGATTTTGACAATTCAGCCTATTAGCTAGACTGTGACCTAATCAAAAGTTACTGGGATGCCACAATTTTTAATGAGACATCAGAGTTATGCTGATTACACCCGTCTGCAACTACCTTACAGCAAAAGTAATTCATCATTTACTTCTGTAGTTGGAGTAAAAGTTTGATTTGACCTTTAGGAAATAAAAAGCTGTTCTCTTCCACTATTGACACTAAGATTATCCTCTTTTCTTCGACAATATCAGCAAGCAGAGTCATCCCAGCTGTGACTACTACTCAAAGATGTAGAGAAGCCAGCTGCTGAATTTGAGATAAGAGTCTGGATTGGCACCTACTGTCTGCAACAAATTTAGGGAACCCCCAAAAAACCCAAGGCTGTTTCATAGTCTGTGACAAATTTCTCTAACCAGGCTGCTGTATTTAGTGAGCCGCTCCTTTCTAATATTGGATGAGCAGGAGAGAAATATGAATATTTAGCTGCCTTAAATTAATAAAATTGAGATGGAGCAGTAGCTGGTTAAAACCAGAGGTTTGTCTACACGTTGCACTTCCCGTCCCCTGGTTGGTACTTAAGAGTGTCCTGTTGCATTCGGAAGGAGAGGTGCAGGAAAGTGATAACACAAAATCCTCTCTCTTAAGCATCGTCATTGGCCATAATAATCAGGTTGGCCCTTAATTTGTCTGAGTGGTGACAGTTCCATTTTGTGAAATAACAAGCGAGCATACATCTTGCTCTTTAGAGCCATTCAAAACAGTCAATGATCACAAAATAAGAAAGTGTACAGGTGTGTGTATATACAAAGATCTCATGTAATTATTCCAAGGAATTGTATGTTAAAATGCACACATACTGAATGGCTTTAATGTTCAGTTTCTAGAAATCAAACCCATATTTTTGCTTGTCTGGTAGGATTTTCTTTTTTTTTTGTTTTGTTTTGTTTTGTTTTTTTTTCTTTTTTAGTGTAACCTTATCTAGTAAGCAGTTATCCTGCCTAGGAAGATGCTTGTCACAACGTGTTAGAGCATCTGGTAGGAGAGGGTTCTCCTTCAAAGAATAAGAGATGCTCCTTGCCATGTTAAATGGGAAGTTTTCTATAGATCAGAATCTGTAAGAGACAGTGCAGGTGTTTAATCATCTGACAGATGTTGCCTATCACAATATGGATTTAGTCCAAAAAAAAAAAAATCCACTCCATTGATGGTACATGGTGCTGTTCAGAGCTGTCCTCCTGACAAAAGAGAAATTTTCTAATGCTTTTTGCTGGAGATGGTGCCTCAAGATTTTTCTTAATTTGAAAATGAATACATCAAGCTGTTTATTTTTTAAAACTAAAACTTGTCTTTTTAAAAATCACAGTGTTCTTAAGACCTCAAAGAAATTTGGAATCAATAGACCCGCAATTTACAATTCGAAGGAAAATGGAGCAGATGAGAGAAGAGAGAGAGCTTGTGGAACAGCTGCGTGAGGTATGTGAGCGCTGGTACAATTCTGCTAATAGAACATATATTTTATGTGTTCTTTGGGAAAGTTGCAGAAATATGATAATATTTTAAAATGTTAAATGAGACGGCATTACTTCTCTGAATTGTGTTGGTGAAACTTACCCTGAAGTGCCTTAACCCACTCAGGTGTTTGTACTTCAGAAAAGATTTTTTGAATGGGAAATAACAATGAGAGTTTCTGGAGTGACATATGGTTAAATGGTATGCCCTGCACTGGTGGAATTAATAGTTTATGTAATTTCATCAGAAAGGACGAAGTGATTATCTCTGAGTGTTAGAATTTGAGTTGTCTTTTAAGTGTGCTTTTGGAGCGTTTTTAAAATGGAAGCACAATTTAAGGAATTCATCATATGTAACAATCTTACTATAGCTTTTTGTTTTTAAAATTCTTAAATGTTTTCAAAATACTTTATTTTGAAATATCAAATTCTTTTCAATGAGACTTCAGGTTTACCTAAAAGAGATTTTTTGGATATGTTATATCTGAATGTCCTGCTTTGTTACCTGTCTTTTTTGATCACTAATGCTTCATAAGTAGATTTTAGACTCCTAGGGAATGATTACCTTTTACTCATTGTCAGTGATGGAAACAATATAATTCTGTTTGAAAGTACTGCTGATAAAATTTGGATAAGTAGAAAACTTGGAGGAATAGTGAAAGAAAGGAGCCACATGTAGTGCAATCACATGATTACATGCAGATATGTTTTTATGTGCTTGTGTACAAACATAAATGCATATTATGACAGCAGCATTTGAAGTGTTAAAGGAGTGTACGTAATTCTGTGACCAGCATGGGAGGAGGGTGGATTGATTTGTAGTTTTTAAAAAATCACTTATATGAGAAGTGGGTTTCTTGGTAAACTGAAACTGCATACATATCTAACACCATGGGAGGAGAAGATGAGATATAAGTGCCTCCTTTCCTTCCTTCGTTTCTATGTTGAAGCGTGTATGTGTTCTTCATTTGCAGAACATTGAAACAAGACTAAAGATTTGTTTGCCTGAAGACTTGGGGTCTGCTCTGATGGATGGTGTAGTTCTCTGCCATTTAGTAAATCACGTTCGACCTCGTTCGGTAGCAAGTATTCATGTACCTTCACCAGCAGTAGTAAGTTGAATGTTTCTTGTTGTGTTCCTTGTTTGTTTTTGTGGGAGCAGAATAGATGAGGACTTGAGGGTATTGAAAAAGGGGAAAAAGAAAAAAAAGAAAAAAAAAAAAAAACCACCTAGTTTAATGCCATATTGCCCTTCTTTCACATCTTGCATTGAGCAAGTAAAATAATTTTCCAAATTACTTTTTACTTATGTGTTTCCGTAAGTATTGAGTGGATAATCCTTAGTGAGACGAATTCTAAAAGTATTTGAAATTCTACTCTAACAAATTTATTCTTCAGACATGGAAAATTGAGTACTCACAAATATAAAACAGCTATACATAAAATATTAAAAAATATAAAAGCTCTATCACAGTTAAATCTGTCCCCCTTGTTGTAGGTTGAAATGCATCATCAGTTTACTTGCTCTCCAGAGAAATGTCTTCTGTCACAGAACATGAGGTTTTAGAACCTGACAAGCTGAATATGAACAAGTAGAGATCTAAATGTGTTGATGGCTTTAATAACTAAGTAAAAGCACAAGGCATCCACAGCTTCCATATTCAGATTATATTTATATAAATTTCAAATTAGATTGGTGGGGAAAACAGGCAGAATTTTAAGCTTTGTTTTCAGGAGAATTATGGAAATAGTGAATCAGTACAAGAATAACTCAATAAACTAACTTATTGACTGAATGAATTAATTGGCTTATTTTGCCATGATCTATTTTTTTCTTTTTTTACAGCCTAAACTTAGCATGGCCAAATGCAGGAGAAATGTTGAAAACTTTCTGGATGCATGTAGAAAACTGGGGATACCAGAGGTAATTTAATTAAATCTGCCATTTCCAGATGATCAAAAATGCAAAGCATGTGAATTAATTTAGAGTTTAAGGATAACTGTATGAAATAGCAGTTTTCAGCAATAAAGACATTACTTAGTTCTATTTTTTTTAATTATATGATTTAATGCTACTTTAGTGCGTTTAAGTGGTTGATGTCATAGCACTTAAGAATTGCTAACTTTGTCTTAAATTAGTAATTTAATATTATCCCCGATACCACCTTATGTTTGAATTGGACAATGACTAAGGAACGTGGTAACTGGGTAATAATAATGTAGTTAGGCAGAAATTTGCTCATTTTTCCATATACACCTATAATTGCATTTTTGCATATTGTTTTTAGAAGATAGACTTCATTCTTTTTAATTGATTTTCCTTTTTTTTACCATATTAAGTACTCAATAGTATGTATTTTAAAAGGAGCTAACAAGTCACTCATGTCATGTACTCAAACACTTCAGCAGCGATGTGAAGAAATCCCTTCTGTGTGTTAAGGATGGAATGTTTCTATCAGTAAGGTTGTTCAATAGATAGTATTTTAGACATTGAAAGTAGGGAAATTGCAGTGCATGATGTTCTCTGCTTTTCACTTAAGTATGGTAGTATTCATTGTGTAATCTATTCTGAAATTGAGAAGGAAAATGTCTTAAGTAATGAATTCTGGGGCTTCATTGGGAATATTTCAAATGTTCTCTTAGAGTCTAGGCATATGTGTTAAGAAAATGTTCATTTAAAATATCTGACCCTGTAAGGGAAAGGTGTTATACAAGGTCTTCTTAACCTGAAAACATGAAAATTGCATGATGTATTTTCTCTGATGTGTGCATATGACAGTAGGATTAAGACTGAATGCATTTTAGCCTGTATTTCAATAATACTGCAACAAAAGGACATTTTGATGTTTTCCTTCCTCCCTTGTCACCCCTTCTGGAGCAGATGGCAATGTAAAGATGTCATGTTGAGAAAGAATTAGTTTTGTTTGTTTTATCTATATTTTAGTACTCGATTTGGAGAACAGCAGAAGTAATGGCTCATTTTTGCTATTTGTAGGAATTTTGAGGGGGGACTTTATCTTACAACTCCAATGGATGGTTCATAATATATATAACCGAGAATTCATTGTTATTTGCTGGGCCTCTAAGCTGTAACAGTTGATTTAGTTGCTGTAATGAAATAATTCCAATATAATAAATTACCTAATATTTTTGGTAAAGTTTCACTTCAAGGAAGATGAAAAAGAAAATCAAACTCTCAGTGCTGTGGGCTTATAGACAAAATAGTTACGGAGTGTTAAGCTGTCTAGTGATGCATTATAAATTATTCAGTGAGTTAGAATACAAATCATTTTTTTTCTGGATGTAGCCAGTTGGGAAAGAAAAGGCTGAGAGCTGTTGTTTTTAAGAGCTTTTTCAGAAACAGAATAAAACAGAAAAAAATTAGAAATCCTTGCAGTGCCATTTTACAGAAGGGTAAGCTAAGCTTTATGCTATTTTATTATTATTTGATTTCTATAAAGAAACTTCCTGAAAAATTCCTTTGTTTTATGTGAATAGGGATTTTTATATATTTGTTGCTCCTAACACTTGTGTTAAAATTAATGTAGAATTTTTGATGATTTTTTTTTGTGTGTTTTATTGAAGTATTTTTGTTGCAGAGAGGGCACGGAGCCCTAGGGAAAGGGTCAAATCTTACCAATCTCTTTTGTAAACTAACCATGCTTATGAATCTGAAGAAGCACTAACTTCTATTGAGGGGAAAGCTCCTTCACTTAAGTATCAAATGAACTGCTTAAAATTGTAAATTTATGACGGGTCTTTAAATGCTCTGAGGATATTTTTGATTAGGTGCTGGTAATGGCAAATATATCTTTGCAGTGTATGGCAAAAATCTGTTGTGTAGCAGAGCTAGGTAGTATGCTTCTTGGTAGAATGCTTCTGCATGTTGGAGGGAAGGGTATGAAGAACACAAAAGTAAAAGTGCATGACAGTTAGCTGTCAGTTATTTATTTTATTTTTTTTAAAAGACCACTGCAGATGATGTCTTCACTCTGCTTCAGGTTGTACATTGCCCAGCCTTTGAAAATCCCAGAAAAGGAATCAGTGAATTTTTTCACTTTTTAAACAAGCATCTTACATATAGTGATAGGTTCCACTTGTGGAACCAGAAATACTCCCCCTTTTTTTAATACTTGTGTTTTCTTTTAATTTACAAGAAACAACTTGAAAAAACAACTGGACGTTTTGTTTTTTTAAGGATTTAAAATTGTCACAGCTCTGTTTTGGTTTGTTCTCAGTTACTTATGGAATAGAGTACACACAGGTTTAGAACAATACACTGTCAAGGATAGGAACAGAAAATACAGAAGGAAAAGAAAACAGCAATAGTAATTACTGTGATGTGCATGGTCTCTTGCTTCTGTGGTTTTCAGCATTCAATTTTTAGGTCAAAATTGCTTTCCCCTGAATGATCCTGGCAAACCTTCTGCAAGTGTAGAAAAATGCAGTAGGCATCGATATCCAAGTGGGTCATGATGAGCCTTGGCATTTGGCATCTTGACCAAAGTCACAAGTACAAAATGACCCCATGTGTAGATGATTGTGGGATGACTCGTGCCAACTGACGTGAGAAAGGCATTACCTACCAGATGAGACTTCCAGTACGATGGGTGGTGTGTTGAAATCACTTTGTTAGTGCCCACATAATCATTCTGGCTCTCCCCTTTAGTAAGAAACGAAGTAGCAAGGCTCATACCACACCAGTCAGCTGTGAAAAGGGACAATAGCAGTAGGACAAGCAGCAGGTGCCCAGTTTTGCCACTAACTTTGCCTGTAGGGCCTTTTTTATTCCAAGGTATCACAGATCTTTGTAAATAATCATTTTTGTAGACAGAACTTTCTTGCTTGATATGAGAAAGTGATGGTGGCAGATAAGCATCTGAAAGCCTGATATATCGTGCAGTACCCCTTAGAGACACCAAGGTACAACCTTTGTTACTTAAAGTACAAACTAAAACTTTAAAATAAAACTTTATAAATAAAGCACTGCCAACTAAAAATTGTCAAAGATCTTCTCTGTAATAACTATAACAAACTCCTGATTTTTGACTGATACAGATTACATAAACAAGTGACAGTAGATGTGTGGTAAGTAGGAGTGCCTATCCCACTGCATTTTTCAGAATGACATGCAGTACGTGGATGGTGCCATTCACAGGAAAAGTTTGTTAATGTCACGTGAACCCAGTACTGACACTGACATTGCTTACCAAGACCATCTGTGTTGCACCTCCCCTCTCACCCTTTCTGGTTTAAGAAATGAAGCTCTTTTGGGCTTCATTCATCTTTGCATGGTTGCAAGTGTGGTCTCTGAAATGTTAAATGCCCCAGTTCTAAGGTAGTTTTCTTCTTAATGGCACCTCATCTCAGAGTTATTGATAGTGATCAGGATAATCTGAATTACTATCACATGAGTATATATGTAAAACTATGAAAATATTTTGTCTCTATTTGAAAGAACACTGCTGTATTATAAACTAGCAATGTTTATTCATTTTTTATTTCATTTATTCAAGAAAAATATTAATACACATTTTTCATTATGAGAAGAAATTCTCACCTAATCGTTCATACATATTTTGAAAACACAGCTATTTTTGTCTGTTGCCACACTGGAATCAATACTCATATTAGCAAAGAAGTAGACTTTTCCATTTTAACCTAAGCATCAATAACATAATTTAGCATTAGCTTTCATTCCTTATAGCTGTTATTCTTGGTAAACCGCATTACAGGGAACTTTCAATAGTGTTAACAAATGTTCATGTCAATGTTTGTCAGCCAAAAAGCAGATGTTACCTTTTAACAAAGGCACAAATCAATATTTATGATCTGCAGTGCACATTAGTGTAGTATCTTAACAGTGTAGACACTTGAGATTCTTTTGGCCCTTTATGGTGCCACTTCTGGCCAAAGAAAATAAATGGAAGAGTTGCTTTTAAGAAAGGGAAAGTTAGGCTTTCCTACGTATACACACCTTATGAATCTTCATATGGCTCGGGACAAAGATAGGCATAAGTTATCATGATTAATACTACAATGGTAATTTCTGGTGATAAAAGATAGCGATAAAAAAATCCTTCACAGCCAGGTGTCAGGGTAGGTTTACTGAGCTCTTGTGTTCAAGTACGTCAGTGATGGTGCAGCAGCGTTTAGTGAGGCATGCAGTTATTTCTTGGGTAGGAATGAGAGACTTCTGCCGTGTTTTCCAAGTTTTCAGGCAGCTACCTGGACTGCACGTACTGAACAGAAAGGAGTGATGTAAGAAATAAATTTTTTGATTTAAAATCATTATCTGAAAACTCAAGTTGCAAAAGACTTAGCTGTGACTGTTTGTGGGACTTCAGAATCTTGCAAACATGGTTATTACTGCATATGACCTCCTCTGGAAACTAATTCCACTTTGTTGCAGCTTTAGCAACACCTCAAGTGTGATTTGTGTTAGTATAGGAGTTGCTACTGACGTAAAACAAATGGGAAAAAACAGGACATTTTTAGTATGCTAAAACTGGCAGAACAAAGTAAAAGAATCGCCCAAAGTGGAGTGTCAAGTGCTTTATTTTCTACCCACGTATTAGTAGTTCAACTGGTAGTTGCGTTTCTCAGCTCACTGCAAGGTATGTTTTCGTTGCTGCTTATGCTCGTTTTCTGATCGATTCACATAATCAGTTACTTTTCCATAGTTTCATCATGAGACATCCATGAAGGTACAGTAAGTTTGATCAGGTATGACTCCTTTCTCCACCTGTTCGTTCTGTGCTTGGTAATGTACACTGTTTGCCCCACAGTACAGATTTGAGTGGTTCCAGAATTTAAATCCTAATTCTGAGGTTCCTTTCGTTTGTGTTTTGAGTACAGTGCATATGCACTACAGACTTCATTTATTCACCCAGTTCTGCAAACTTATCCTTGACCTTTTATTTTTTTTAGGGTCAAAATCATAGAGAGTTGGTTTCGAAATGTGCTTATCTGTTTTCACAGTCACTGCCGGGGCATGCTGAGCGAGGGTGGGTTGTGCATACAAACAGCTGGTTATGCTTTTGTTGTTCCACATGGCTTTCTTACTGTTTTTATTCTACGTGCATGACTTTGGTAGCTGTATGATGTAATCATATAGCATCTTGGGCTTGACAAGACAGTCCATAAGTGTAATGATTAAGTAATACGGTTTTCTTTTTTGCTTCTTATAATTTTAGTCTCCTATAAATGAGAAGGGCCGTGCTTGAGGTGGGTGGGTGGTTGCTCATTTGTTTGTCTTTGGGGGTTGCACTGAAGTAAATGTCACGTACTATTTCACTACTTCATGATGTCATATTTTAGTTTGGTATTTTCATTTCACAGCATCTGTAAAAATTATGGTAACTTCTAGAGTTACGTTACCGAAGTTTAAAATGCATCAATATAAACATTTTATCTAAGGTGAGAAAGTAATAGCAAATCATCAACTGTTGCAGAACATACAAAAGTAAGCAAAAATCATCAGAAATTTCTCAGGCTTCCTCAGATGTCATTGAATTTCACTGAAGCACAGCATGGCAATTCTCACAGGAAGTTTCTTCAGCATGTGTTGGCTGGTTTTGTATGCTTTGGCATCTCCTGTATACTTCTTAATGTGTTACTCTCTGGTTAGCAAGTTCTTTGGTCTTTTTTTTTAAAAAAAAAAAAAAAGGTAAATCAACATACCACTAGCTCTCATTCTCCAACTCTGAAATTACTTCCTTCTCTATTTGATGACAGTAGGGACTGCTTTCAGAAAAGTTTAGTTTTTTTTTCCTTACAGAAATTCAAAAAAAAAAAAATCATTGTTGGAAAGTTTCTGATTTCTACTTATTTATTTATTTATTTACAAAAATTTGGTTTTGGAATTTCTTACATATTTCTTTTGGGATATGTTTGTGGCAAGTATGAAGTGAGACTTGTATGTCATTTTAAAATGAATGCAGCACTTACGGGGTTTATTAGTGTCTTTGGTACAATAGTAGTGCTTAGTGAGAAAATGTAGTCACTGGGTAGTTTGTTTGCCCTGAAATTAGTTTCTTTGGTAAGCAACTTATGGATATAGATGTTCTTGAAGGCACTGCTAATCTTATCCTACTTTTAAACAAGATCGGCATGTTTTGTTCTGCCTGTGAGTTTTCATTCTTTATTTAAAAAAAAAAAAATTATTACAGTTGCCTTGGCAATTAAATAGCACTAGAATTTGGGGTCGGAAAAATCCTCCAAAATTACTGTCAACATGCCAGTCTTGTTACTGGGCAAGGTGTCTTTCCTATTCCACATATCCGCTGGTCTAAGAAACAAGATGAAAATTGTGCAGCTTTTAGCTCTTGTTTAAAGCTAGAACCAGGTATGGAGAACAACAACAACAAAAAGTCATTGTTATTGTAAATGACGGTCCTGATTTCCAGTTTCACTAGCCACTTTTCAGGATAGAAAAGCCTTTTCAATATTTTAAATGTTAATTTATTTCAAACTGGACATGGAAACTTCACGGTAACAGAAAACAGGCATCTGAATCAGAATGTCCTCGTTTATTGAGTGCGCTGTCAGTTCATTAAGCAAGTGAAACTGAAAAGCTGTGTCAGAAACACAATATTCCTATGAAGGTCTCTTTCCTAATTTGTGTAATTTTATTTCATAAGTGTGGACCTGTGATAGTAAGGCCTCATTTGCAATGTGAAATGGTATAATCTTTCAGATTGCTGCATTTTGGAAGAGCAAGTTGTTGCATGGGTCAAATACAACGTTAAATATTGGGGGGGGGGGGGGACATATTAGTGCTGTTACTGCATATATCAAGCTTCATTTTGTATAGCCAGCATGACGGTACATGTAGTCATTGGTATTTTCCAAAAAGAGTATACAAATCTAACCTGTTAATATTTTCCTAAAATGCTAATTATGGAATTAAGTGTATCATTTAAGCTTAGAAACTATACTTAAATTAATGATAGTCAGCCATTGACGTTCTCAGTTTCTATCCCAGGGTATCATTTAAAGTGATATTTGAATACAGGTTCTAGGTTATATGTTGTGTTAGAGAATTTTACATACTTCTAGTAGCTCGTTTTAGTACTCTTTCCTGAGACTTCGTATTTTCTGCTGCTTGTACTTTTTAACAGCTTTCTAACCCACTGTTTGCTATTATATAAATTAGATTTTTTAGAATTTGTTCAACTTAAGCACTTTAAGTCCAGAGGAATAAAGGTGTGCAGATCCCATTAGAGTAAGTGGATCACGTGCACCTCCTCACCCTTGTGAATCTGGACATAATTTGGAAGGATTTGAAGGGCTGAGCTCTTCTAACATAACACTCTGATGTTGTATGATAGCTTCAGTATTGAGGGGAAATCAAAGAAAGCTGGGGTGCCTACTGACAAAGGCAATACTAGGACAAAACTATTCCTACGTGTTTATGCTAGAATATTGTGATAATTTATCAATATCTTTCTATTTTTGTATTTTTAATTTTTTGCACTGTTTTTTTCTGTTCTAATGGCTGCCCTTCGGGATAGGCTGACCTCTGCTCTCCGTATGACATCCTGCAGTCGGATATTCGTCACATTCGAAAGACTGTTGACACTCTGCTCGCCCTCGGGGAGAAAACCCCACAATCAACTTCTACCTTTCGCTCCTGGGATCTAATAGGCTTTTGTCTTTTCCACATACTTTTTGTAGTCTTGATGTTTATAACTTATCACTGGAATGTGCTAACAGCATAACCTGTTCGCATGTGCACACACACTTTCTGCTTTGTCTCTGACAAATTACAGGTACTTAATTTCCTTCCTTTGTCTTACACTTCTCCCTTTCCCCTCGCTTCCCTTCACTGTAATATCTTTATTAATCTCTTGAAATAGGGGAGAGAGGGAGTAGCATCTTGAACTGCTCTGAAGGCAAATCCAGGCTCTTCTCCCCAACTCCAGCTCTAGTTTAAGAACTTACATACCTCTTTATTTATAGTTTGTTTTTGTGTATGTTGCCTGGACTACACATTGAACGTGTTAAAGCAGTGAAGCTACTCTTATCCCACTTATGGGTGTAGCCCAGATGTATATCACAAGCTAAATAGAAATGAATCTTTCTGTGAAAAGGCAACAATGCCTTTGTGAAAGGAGTTCACAAGAATTTTTGAAAACCCACGAAGGCTACAGATACTGAAGTAGTAAGGTGGCAGCTCCACAGCAGATAGTATTTTCTGAGTTGCTGCCAGTTATCTCAACATGTGTTGTGTTGGGAGCACTCAGCAGCAGTTTGAAATATAGTTCTCTATTCCAATCCTTTAGTTTAACAAGAGTACTGTATTTTTAAAGATGGTTGATCATCTCTACTGTTCTGATTAAATTCCATACTGGAGTAGTTATATTTTCCTACTTAAATTGTTTTCCTCCAGATTCCATGGAATAATCTTCTGTCTCACAAAGCAGTGTTTAGCTGCTTTAAAACACTTGAAGATGACTGTAGATTAGTACTGTGTATGAGGAACACCTAATATGCGAGGGACTCGAAAATATTTTGGGGTGAAGATCGTGAAAGACAGTGTGATACAATGAGATAGTTTGAGGATAAACTGTTAGATCCCTGTATCTGCCATTCTTGTGTGTGACATCAAGCAAGTCATGTCACTATCTTGTCTCTGTTTCATCACCTGTGACGATGCGGGTAATGTTTGTTTGTGTATCAAATGTAGTAAAGAAAATGTAGCAAGAAAAATTGATTGTCTAAGAAGACCTTCGTTTTTGTCTTAGGAAGTATTAAAAAATAGGTTAGACAAACGTTAGTTAGGAAGCCTTTTGGCATGTTTGAACAGTCCTTGGTTAGAGCACTGGGCTGAATGACCTCCACTTCCCTTCCAATTCTGCTTTCTGTTAATTTATTTGTAAAACCTGAAAAAGACGAAATTTGTTTTTACTCTGTATCAACATAAAACATACAAATGAAAAGCAATTATAGGCATGTTGAGACTTGAAAACTCTAAAACCTCAAGTATAGACCTATATTTCCTATCGTTAGGTGCTATTGATGAGACTCGTAGTTCAGCATTAAGCTAGCTAACCAAAGCATCTCAGTCTTGTGGCTGTGAAATAAATATCTTAATCTCTCACGGGCTGGTTTATCCAAAAGTTGCCAACTGACTTTTAGAAGAAAATTAGCATAAGAGCTTGTACGTTACTGATAATTCTGGTAACATGGTTATGATTTAGTGCTATACTATTAATATCCCCATTTCATATATACTTGTAAAAGAAATGTATTAAAAAGCTTCTAAATGCAGTTCTATTCCCAGTTTCCATGGCATAGATATGTATTTGTGTGTGTGTGCTTGAGTGTACGTATATGTATAAAGAATGACATGTATAATTAGGTATTTTAAGATAGAAAGGTTACTTTCAGACAACAGGTTGAACTAATTTTCTGAAGGTTTTAGTCTGTAGCAGCTTCCAGTGCATATTTATAACAATTCTATTGTAAAGACTGACTTTTCTGACTTGGTGTGAGTTCAGGGAATGCTTCTAGGTTCCTAATCCATGAGGGAACTCTCCTAGTTATTTGGGTGCGTAGCTCTGGACCTGTGCTCTCATCCTGCACAGGTCAGTCTTCTGTGTGCCTAGCTGCAGTGATTCCAATAGCAGACACTTGCTTAGAGTCTGAGCTTAATGTTTAAGATCCCACTTTCAGAGGGTCCTGGTCTTGATTTTGGTTGTCTTGTTTTACAAACCTTGCTTTTCAAATGAAACTGAAAGTGGCATAAAGTTTGAATCACTTCAGAGTCTATTAATCTATGACTATTTACAATCCAATGTATGTATCTGAGACAAAAGCGATGTCTTCTGCAGGGCTGGGATTTTAGTGGTAGCCAGGTCTCCTGTTAATGCTTTGTGTTGTGTAAGTACCAATCCACATGTCTAAATATTTCTTAACGTTTTTTGAACTTAGAAAATTAAGTGGCAAAAGTTATTGCTACCATCGTGTAGTTCCTATCTGTGTCACTGTCTGGTATTGTGTGTGATTATCCTCAGTATCCCATAGCTTTGGGAGGGAGGTAAGAAAAGTAATAGGTCAGACTTGCAGAGGTGTGCCAGTGAAGGCCAGCTGCACGTATCCCCATGACACTGATGTATGATTCTCACACTGTTGTGATGTTCTAACTTTACCTACGTTTACAATACAAACATCTTTTATTACATAGAGTACATTTTCTCAATATTCTCAACCTTAACAACATACAGCAATTAAAGTGCAACTTTACAAGAACTTTTTTGGAGTCACAGATTTAAAGCCATCTTGAACCAGACTGGAAGGTAACCATATTTGCTTCATGACACACACAGCCTTACTGTACATGAAGCTCACCCATTTTCTGTACTTTTTGTATTTTTTCTGGTCATAACAGTTCCAAATATGCATAAATCTTACAGGGAAAGAGATATTAGAATACACACATTTCTGTAAGTGTAGTAATGTTTCTCAAAATATATTTTAAAACAGTACAGATGTGAAAACTACGTGGTTTCTCCTCCTAAAAGCCAGTAATTAATTCTCCCTCTAAATGGGGAGGTAGAAACTAAAACAGGTATGTAGCTAATTAATCTGCTCAAATGGGTTCTTTAATAAATTCAGAGTCCTACTTCTGTGCTGTTGTTCCTGTAGCGTTAATTCTCAAGAAACCACCAGTTTTGTTGGCTGGTTGTTTTTCACCTCTTAGGAGATCCCGATACTGAGACCCTGTTATAGGGCTAGTACTTACCACTTACAATTAGTCACATGATTAAGTTGATGATTTAGGGTTTTAAAACCATCTATATTGTTCACTGCCACCTTCATTTATTGATAACATGAATTACATTTGCTCCCCCATGTGTTTCCCCATTCATTTTTTCCCCACTGCGGTGCCAGGATGGTCGTCGGAAATTTTCAGACTGATTTCTTCATACATTGGTCTGCTCAGATGTACTTTATGTACTTCGCCCTTTATATTGATTTTGGATCCTGTGGAGGTAATCACATCCGTACTGCAATGAAGTAATAAATACAAATTGTAATGGATTAATTTAATATGCATGCAGGTAAAAAGTGCTTGCGCTGGATTACAGCTAATATTTTGATATGAGGATTTGGCTATGGTGCAGTGTAGTAGCTGTTCAAATGCCTTTGTTTCAAGTACATACTAACAAGCTTTTACAGCTGCAAGCCCTTTATGGATCCCATTGCATTCCTAATAAGCTTACTGAAAGGCTACAGTTACCATGAATGGGATCACGTTAGACCTGAGCAAATACATATTCGGTCCAGTTTTCTACTCCATAGCCACAAATAAGTTTTCTAATTATTGTCACTCTGTTGTTTTTCACAAAAAGAGCTGCTATTGGCATTTTACTCATATCACTACAAAAAAATAAAAAAAATCAAAGCACTCATTTATGTAGGTTTAGAAACAGTTTAGAGCAGGTTTTCTGTTTTATTTATTTATTTATTTATTTATTTTTTTATTGCCACTTCCTTCACATTCAGCACTCAAGCTGCATAAAGCAATAAACAGAAAGCAATATGAAAATACTTTCAGGTAATGACCCATTCTATGTGGATGATGCAAAACATTATCATTCCTTCATTTAGTCTCTTAGCATTTAATGTATATGGTTATGGTATAGCTGGTATTTCCCTGTAAGTATGCATTTTCTCTTACTGTTTAATGTGTGTCTGTCTGTAGTAAGTTTATAGAGCTTTCCATTCCCTCCAGTTTCAGGTGGTTGTTTTCTTAACATGTTAGGATGAAACTGGCAAAGTAAGTGGTCTACCTTAAAGCTGTATGGCTCAAGGCCAGAATCTGTAAACTGGGTACAAAGCCATCATCTGCAAATGCAGTTTTGTAAATATTTGTAATTTATTGCATGTTCAGAAGATGCACATATTTAGATCTCTCTCCAGCTATAATTTGAAATACAGAATTGCAGCTGCAGTATTGAAGTTCTGGGTTGTTGGGATTTGTTTTGTTTTTTTCTTTTTCTAATCTGGTCACAAGTGTATGCTTCAACAAAACATACGAATCTTTCCTTTGGAAATTAAAAGAAAAAATGGATTAAAAATACCTATGGCCTGAATCACTTTTTGATCTGGTCTTTTCTGTTGTATTTCAAATGGTAATTTCAGGGTATTTGGGCATGTATGGATATCAGCAATGATAGTTGTTACAGAAAATATATTTACAAAGATACGATTTCACATTCCCTCAGATATGTGAAAAAGAAAATGTTTACTATATTTGTTCAGCTCTTTGGAAAGAAAGCTTTGCCTTGACCTTGCAAAAACTTAAGGCTTGTGTATTTAATATGTTTGCTTAAACGTAGGACCCTGACATTTCTTTTACTGACTGTCCATTTCAGAATATTTGGCCTCAAACTTTAAAAAATGAGCATTGCATGGACTTCTTTTCAATTCGTACTTAAACAAATTAATTTCTCTGTTTTGCTAACAGATGTAGTTGGGCACTGATGTTACTATGATGTAGTCATTTCACCACTTGCCCATGTGATATAATGGCAGCAATTTCTTTGATAACGAACTGCTTTGTCTGAATTGTCAAGCTGTTTGCCTTGGCATAATCCAAATCAAACAGCTGCTTGACGCTGAAGGCATCTGATCTTAAAGAAAATAGATGTGTGTGTGTCAAGTGTCACATATCCTTGTGGGATTGGTGTCCTTGCGTATTCCTGTTCTTAATTTTACACCACCTACATCAGAAGATTTGTCCCAGGATTAGAAAACTGCTTTGGCGAGTGCACACACTCTTGTATGTTTGCAGGTGTGCCTGTTGTGCCATCTTTTTGTGTTGCTTTGTGACTCAGCCTCCTGGCTGCTGCCTCCCTTTTCTGCTTGGGTGATTTGCTGTGGTTGTGTGTCTGTCCTGTGGTGTCCCCCCATCCATCCACCCCCCCCATAAAGCCAAAGAGGCTCGTTCTTTTGCTTCGTAGGAGTTTGGAAATGTCTTTGTCAATTCAAAACGGATAATATGCCTGTAGAAAGTGGTTTTCCTGCAACAAATAATTGTTTCTCTGCGTTTCTAGGAAAAATGCATTAAACATTTAGGTCTTGGTTCTACAGTAGACAGAGAAGAAAATGGTCTGACAGCCCTTTCCTCTGCGATGGTTTCTAAAGATCTGTAGTCTAGGGGTTAGCAGCCAGTTCTCCTGTCTTTCTGGGCTTTGTTCAGTGATGGTTTCAGCAGGGGTACTTTTAGAGAGGTGATTCATATTCAGTATTGAAGAGTTACGGGTTTGATGCTACTGTGGAATGGACAGAAATCTTTACAAAGGTAGGGAGAAGTGGGTGAAGAGACATCTAAAAACCTTGGAGACATGGGTGAGTTCTCTTGGTCACATGAATTTTCTTAAAATTTGGCATTTTGAAATAAGTTCTGAAGTCTTGGTGGCTTTCACCTTCACAGCTCTAATGGCAGTGGCTTCCACTGGTCTGAAGGCATCTGTTGTGGTGGGGAAGAGCAGAGCAAAGCATAGGAAATGAATGGACTGCCCTGCTGGGACAGGGGCTGAGCACAAGGTCTGAAACAACTGGGATCATGACCCAGCGTAACTGCTATGCAGAAGGCTGAGTTTGGTTATCAAGTTGATTTTTCTTATTTTGAGTTAAATGTATTACTCTAAATCTGGGATTTGAAAAATACATGAGGCAGAGTTGGTGCGAGCTGTTGGCAGAGCTTTTGAAGGTAGTGGGTAGGGCTCGGACAAGAGGATCAATGCATGACACTTCTAAGATGTAGGTCTTTGTAGCAGCTGGTATAGGTCTCCTTTGGCAGGTTTGGAAACTTCATCATAGCCACACATTTAAGGGCAGAATGATAAAATAGTAACCAAACTTCTCCTCAATAAGAAACGGCTGTCAGTTGTACGGCTTTCAAGAACTAATGGTGAATGATGCACAAGATAAAAAGTTATGTGAAACTTCTGACTCCAGGAGCACTGCTGTTTGCAGACCTCTTCAAATAGCTGCCCTGTTTGAGGATGTCTTGTAAATATGGCAGGGAGAGGGAGGTTGTCTTAGAGAAATGGGATTTCTGTAGGGTATTTAGAAGAGTTAGGTAATGCATTCTCTGTAAAAGTTGAAAAGTTTATGCTGGGTTGTTTTGTTTTTAATATGAATTCCTTTTCATGCTTTTAGTTAAAATGTGCTTATAAATAATTGCAAGACGAGAAGTCTGTTCTGGCAAGAAAGAGTTGACAGATAAAAGAATCGTTTTTTGAATGCAGGAAGGTGCCACAAAAATGGCAACTTTAGAATTTTATTTGTTAAGGAAACATCCTTAACTGTGTTTTTGCAGAAAATAATAGAAAAAAATATATATATATTTTCAAACATACATACCTTGCAAGGTAGGTTGCTTTGGAGATTGAATCCCAAAACCTATCCCTATCCTTCAGCCTTGTGACATTAGCAGTTTGGGTGTTGGATTCAGCAGGCATAAATATTTGATGCCTTTTGTCTGAAGTGGAAAAGTAATGAAATACTGGTGTGTGTGCCACCAAATCTGACATTCAGAGCCTAGTTTGTTTGCAAGGGTGCTTACAAAGAGTAAAAGAGTGGAGAGCATTTCACTTTAAATGTCATTCATATTCTCAACAAATATTTTTTGAAAATTATCAGAATCGGAGTATCTTAAATTTTTTTTAAAACTTTTTTTAAAAAACTTTAAACTTTTTTTTTGATGGGCAAAGTACTTCTGGTACAATCATACAGTTGAAGTAGAAATATTTTTTGCCTTTTATTTGATTGTCACCATCTCTGCCTTCTTCTGTGGTTACTCTTTTAGTTAGGTATCAGTTTAGGAGCTTGCATCAGAGAAACATTGTCTTATGAAGAACTATATAAAGATTTTTTATAGTTTATATAGTTTTATAAGATACCTTCTTCCAGGGAAATAAAAGGTAAGGAGAACTTCCTCTGAGAGTTTGCAGGTCTGCAGTATCTCAGTCACAGAACAGTGAGTAAGAGTTCAGTGCAGAATCAGTGTCTTAAATTAAATGACCAATTAAGAGTAGGTTTGAACAGGAATCTGGGTGTCACTATTTGAAATATAACTATTTGAAGGTTATCTGTCTGAAATGGTTTCTTGGGTGTGCATGTGCAGAAGGAACCCACAGTATTTGTTTGGTATTTGAGGCTATAACCTGAAAGGCACAGAATGGTTGGAGTTGGAAGGGACCTTAAAGCTCACCCCATTCCACCCCCCTGCCATGGGCAGGGACACCTCCCACCAGCCCAGGTTGCCCAAAGCCCCATCCAGCCTGGCCTTGAGCACCTCCAGGGATGGGGCAGCCACAGCTTCTCTGGGCAGCCTGTGCCAGGGCCTCACCACCCTCTGAGGGAAGAATTTCTTCCTAATATCTAACTTAAATCTCCCCTCTTGTAGTTTAAAGCCATTCCCCCTTGCCCTCTCACTCCACTCCCTAACAGTCCCTCCCCAGCTTTTCTGCAGGCCCCCTTCAGGCACCACAAGGCTGCTGTAAGGTCTCCCCAGAGCCTTCTCTAGGCTGAACAACCCCAACTCCCTCAGCCTGTCTTCACAGGAGAGGTGCCTCAGCCTCCCAGTCATCTTTATGGCCTTCCTCTGGACTCGCTCTGACGGCCCCAGAGCTGAAGGCAGCACTCCAGGTGGGGTCTCACAAGAGCAGAGCAGAGGGAGAGAATCACCTCCCTCACCCTGCTGGCCACACTGCTTTTGGTGTAGCCCAGGATACAACGAACCTTAACCCACAATCATTAATAAATATACACATACATATAGAGAAACATTTTAAATAATGATTATAATATTTATATCTTATGCTTATCTTTTATAATTTACCAGTACCAGATGCCGTAGTTGTGGAAAAAAGGTTGGCTCTCACTTTTCAGGTTCTGTAGTTAACAGAAATTGTACAATTTCTCTTAAGTAGGCTAACTTCAGGTGTTTAACAGTCTTGGGCTGCAATAAATCTCCCTCAAACTAAACATGAAACTTTCTTGATGAAGGTTTTATTAGCGATTTCCATAGACTCTGGAATTTTTCCTTAGAGACTATTTGACACCGTTGTTGATGGATCTCACTTTGGGATTTTGATGTGTTCAAAGTCCAGAACCCACCAGTTCCAGTTCACCATTACAGGAAGGGAGCAGTCTGAGTGAGAGATGAACTTCTGTGAGCTGGAGGTTGGCTGGAGCCGTGGCAGCAGGTGATCAGTTTTCATCACCCCAGAGAGGCATCAGTTGGATGCCTCACACGTCGCTTTTAGGCCAACAAAAAAAATAATCATTACCTGACTCTGCTGATGGTCATGCAGAGATGCTTAGGGAAAGAACAGGAAGTTAGATCACTTATATGGTGCTTTTTCACACTTAAAGCAACTTGACAAAGAGTTTAGGGACTTCATGAGCCAGATGTTGTATCTACATGTTTGTGTTTAATAGCATTTGATTTTTTTTATCCATCCATGTATTTGTCATCCCATTTACACTTCTGGCTTCCATGTTGTGCCAGTGAGTCTCCCAGCTGTAATTATGGTTTGTGATGTAGACATTTATTTATTCTAAGCCTGGTGCCTGACTTCATAATCTCACCTATTTTGTTAAGATGAATCCAGCTATGTTAACTTTCTTAAAGACGGAGCTAATTGTGACACAAGGCTACGTCTCTAAGGAAGGCTTTCTGTAATGATTCACTGTGGGATTCTGTGTTGCCTGTTGGAGAAGCAGTATTTGTTATCTGACTGCCTTCTGATAAACAGCTAGTAGCTTTCATCCTGGCCTTGAGTGCTGAGTCCTAATGGTCAATGAAGTCGATTCCTTGATATTTCAGACTAAGCATACTCAGAACCAACTGCTTCATCCAGTGAACGCGCACCATTACGCACACTTCTCTGTAAATGCTAAGGGGTGACTTCCACGGTGCGTATCCTGGGACCAAGACCTCCCCTCCTCGAGCTCAGTGGTAGAACTTTTTTTGGCTGATTAAAGAACAGCCTTCTGTCCTGTGAGGCCCAGAACATGACCAGATCTCGTGCTAATTCGTAGATAAAATGAGAGCAAAACGAGATACTTCCTGTCAAAATCACGGGAAAAGTTTCAAACTGCAAACAGCAAATGGTTCCTACTTGTTGGGTGTTCGTATAAAGTGACACTTTGCAATCACTACTGAATAACCTAATCTCTGCTCCTTTGTTTGTCTTTTTCTAGGAGAAGCTCTGCCTACCACATCACATCCTAGAAGAAAAGGGCTTGGTAAAAGTGAGCATAACAGTTCAAGCCTTGCTAGATGTAACCACAGTGAAACAAGCTTTATTCACATGAAACTGTCCCTGCTGTTACCAGCTCCACTGTGCCATCAAAGAACGAAATCACTGCCCATCTTTTCAAACTGCATTGACGAAACAGTGCTCCGAGAGTATTCTTAGACTTCTGATTTTGAAATAATCCTTGAGACTGTACACGTGCGTCGAACTTCAAACCTGAAACTAAACAGAAACATTTTATAGAGCAAATTGGCGCTTCACTGCTTTTATAGTTCACTTTGTACAGTACTTAAACAGCCACCTCTCTGCCACTTATCAATGTGTGGAGTACACAGCTGTCTTGCAGCAAGATACCTTCGTATTATTAAACTAAGAATCAGTGTAATCATTTCTGGGGGGAGGGAGAGTAAATCCGACTTCTACCATGTTAGGTTTTTCTGCAGTTGCTTCAGGCTATTGCCTTTTAAAAATATCCAGACATAAAATATTTATATAAATATTATTTATTAGTGAGTTGTTATTCATCCTTTGGATGCAAAATGTAAATTAGGAAACTGTATTTTATTACTGCTTTTTTGTGGTTAAACACTTTATTTTAATATAAATATTTAGTTATTTTTTATTCAACTTGGTGTGCAGTAGCTCTAGATCTCCATAAATTGTATTTTCTAATATGTAAGATAAAAGAAAAAAACAATCAAAATAGGTGCTTTTATTAAAAGAACAGCTAGCTGGAATGGCATTCTTTATTTTTCAATTAGTGGAACATTGGTAAAAAGTTTGTCTGCATTCCGTTCCGTTTCCTACATTCCAGTAGCACTTCTCCCCCAGTAGGCTCAATTGGCTGAAACCGAGAGCACACCCATTTTACTTGTATATAGATGTTTAGAGAAAAAAAAAAAAAAAAGGAAAGACATAAACTTGAAAAAGAAATGTGAACAAATATTTTTGATCGCTTATTTTACTATGCACAAGACATTTTAACTTTTGCCACAGCAGGATGATGTGCATTAGGATCATGTGTCTTGAAATATGATTTTTGCACTGTAACTTCTTGTAAAGACTACAGCACTACAGAACGAGTAACGACAAATAGCACAAGGACGTTAACAAGGTTTACCAGGTAGCCAAAAACTAAACCAACCGACCTTCAATAAATCTGTCGATAGGAGATAAAATTGCCAAAGGCAGTCTGAAAGACCTGATCTTCCAGATGCAAGCTGCTGGGTACAGTGCTTCTCCGTGTGGTCATCGGAACGGCCAAGTCCCGTAGCTTCCCAGTGAGTTAAGCACAATGTTCTGTAGGATCTGACCTCTAATCCCACATCAGCAATAGGAAATAAGGTTCTTTTTCTTACTTACTACTAAAAATTTTGGAAGAGTTTTCTTAAAAGCATAACTTATCATTGAAACATCACATGTTGTAGATCTAAAAGTTCCAGCGCGGTGATTGTCGCAGCAGCTGGAGCATCCATTTTTCTTTGGTCTGAAAAGCTAAAAGATGCAACGTGAGCAAGCAGGACAGGGAAGCAGCACGTGATGAAAAGGCTAGCTGGTAGGGGTCACTGTTGCATATAAGCAAGTAGTTTGAAAGGCATTAATGGCAAAAATGAGGCAATGTGGTGGGAGAATTAAACAGCAAGAGGATGTGGAGCAAACCAGTGTATAAAGACTTTTTGGAAGAAAGAGCGATGTGGACTTGTCACTACTGCGTGTCCAGGCAAAGTTACACGCATGTTCACACACTGCATTTAAAAACACCACTGTTTCCATAGCAGATTTGTAGTCTTTAATACAGTATTTGGATGCAGACTATGCATTTTAACACCACAAATTGCCAATTTCCTCATCTGTAGTGAGAGTAACACGTTGGGAGGAGAAAAGTGGGCTTGCAGACAGTGAGATGTGGAAGAGCCAGTCACTTCAACCAAAGCAAAGCGTTTCTTTTTGTAGAGGGAACATTGACTTAAATTATAATTTTGATTGGCAGCTAGCATATTGTTTCCTATAAAAATGTACTGTGCACTTTAACACTAAATTAAAAATGTATTTTAATATTTTACAGAGCTGCACAAATTATCTGTTTTGTCAAAAAGCACGCGCAATGTAAAGAAAGTAAGTTTTCAAGTTAGAGTTTATCAAATTTTAAAAAGCATTCAAAGATGGAGTATAAAAATAGGATTATTAATTTCTGCATCTTGAGGGATAAAATGCAGGTTTCCTGAGTATTTTTTTACAATGTATATATTGCAAACATGAAGCTTTGTAATTATTATTTTGACAAATCTTGGTTTTTCATAATTAAAATTTTGTTTTTCTCCTGATAGTGTCTTTCGGTATTTGCTTAAAGTTGGCTGTAAATAGCTCTGAATATTTTGTAATACAGCTTTTTTTTTTTTTTTTTAATGCAGTCTTAACCTGTACGGCTAAAGAGAGAATCTTCATGGCTCTTTGTACACTATTTACATGTGCAATAAAACATGCATGGCAAACCTATAATACCATAAGCAGTGAACATAATGTATATAGGAAATCTTTACTGTAGTTACAATTAAACTCTATTATTTGTAGAAACTATTTAATGACTGCCCCGTCATTGACAGTTTATTGTACAAGAGATGGTCCTCGGAGAGCTTAACCTTGTGAGTGGTGGATGAGGAGTTGGGGATGGAGAGGATGATTGTATGACCCAAACACAGCAATTTTACAGCTAAACTAAGAATTGGGATCTGCTGAGTAACTGTCAGGTTGTCTGTTCAGTGTTTTCGTCAGCTAGGAAAGCTGCTGGGGTTCTTTAAACCAGGCCCCTGGTTTTATGTACTCAAAGCTGAACAGGGGGCCCAGCAGGGCTGTTTTATTCCAGTCCCTATGCTTACAAAGGGGCTTGCTGCATTTCCTTCACAGATTCAAATCCCTGCTTCAGGCTCTGGAGAGAGGAATTAAAATTCCTGTAGGTGAGCCTTCCTCTGAGGTTTTGCTGCCCCTGTTGCCTAAACTCTCCTGTCATTTAGTGAACAGCAGCAGGGGGCTGAAGTGCCCTGGGTTCCACAGCTCAGCTGGGGGCGAAGGAAGACTTTTATTCTAGTGAAGCCAAGAAATAATACAGTAACCCTTTCTGACCTGAAGCTAGCTGAGTATGACAGGAGCCAAACCGCTTTGCCTGTCTGTAGAAATGGGCAGTGGAGACTGCTGCTCGAAGGCTAAAGTGTATGGTCTTCTCTTTCCCACACAGGTTTCTGAAGTCACATAAATACAGATTTTGCTGGCTTCTTATCTTCTAAGGAAATGCATTTGCCTTAGCAAGATGATTTTATGGCTGTAGTTGTAGTTGTTGGGCAGGACAGCCCAACTGCTGCATCAGACTCAGCATAATTTAGGTGGGCAGGGGCTTCCAGAGCTCCTCTGAGGCTCTGCTCACCTGTGGGGAGCTGCACATCTGACAGCAGGCAGCTGCTGGTGCCCAGTTGAGGTCTGAGCCTTGCCAACAATGCATTTCGCAGTCTCATACAACTTCTCATCAAGGTGGGGGTGAGACCAGGTGCCTATAATCACCCACACAGATGATTCAAGTACCTAAAGTCTTCTCTTGCTCTGTCCTGGACTTGCAGTCCGTGGACAATGGCAGATTTGATGCCTCTTCCTTGTCAGCCTGCTACTGTCCCCAAAGTCAGGGCAGCTTCTATAAAACCTTGAGGTTGCTTTAAGTGCTTGGGGACCTGCATGAGAGCCCTGCTGACACTCACCTGAAGCTGCTCCCATTCACAAGCAGGGCAACTGAGGGCCACTTGCAAAGAGGAAAGCAGCAGAGTGTGGAAATGCAAAGTTTTATCACTGAAACAGTGCTGAGTAGTGGCAATGAAAAGTATTTTCAGCTCCAAAACTGTAGCTGTCCTGTTGTTTGGAAAAGCCAACATTGCAGTTAAGCTCCTGGAGGACTGTAGTCTAAGAGCAGAGGAAAAAAAACCTCCCCACCCTTATCCACAGAAGAATGGGAGACTTAGAATGACACCACAAAAATGTATCAGGTACAAAAGAGGGCTTTTTTTCCTCCCATGCAGGGCAAGCTGCTTCCTACCATTAACCCAGCAGCTCTAAAACAGCAGCTAAAAGCACTTAAATTACAGGGTTAAACCTGCTTTTTAATCACCTCTAGTGTAACGTGCAGGTGTTTGTACTCCTTAAGGAATGAGAAAATGGCACAACCATTTTCTTTAAATACAAAGAAAGTCTCAGAGTAGCCCAGGATTGCAGCTAAGCAAATCCAGACAGCACACCCTTCCCCGGGGAAGCAAAGGCTCTCTTTCCCCCTCTGCGTGTTACAGGTGGGCTCAGCTTGACCTAGAACGCATGGTAGTGGGCAAGTTTTCAAAGCTTGCAAGAAAATTCAAAATACTTACTCTAAAACACACACATCAAATCAAGTGAGACTTTATTGCATTTTCAGTACAATCAAAAGAGCTCCATTTTACAGATGCTGCTTCAGCAAATGATTTCTGTTGTGTTCACCTGTACCTCCGGATTCACATCAGCAGATGACACTTCCATCCATGTAGTTCAAGCATTAAGGTATTTTGCATGGTGCTTGATGTGGTCGTTGATAAACGTAGAAATGAAAAAATAGCTGTGATCGTAACCCTAGAAAAGAACAGCAGAAAAGAGATCAGCAAACATACATAGTTGGTGATAAAGCAATCGTGCTACACTGTCTACTAGGGAAGTTAATGTCTCTTAGGTTTTAATCTGTTTTAAGAAATCAAAAACACCTGCCTTATATATAAAAACTGCAAAACATTCCTAACTAACAGGCTGAGCATGGGAAGGTGAACAACAAATGTACCTTCACCTGCCCTAATTGGGGTATGTGAGTTAGAGTTGGGTAACAGCAAGAGTCAGCTGCAGGGCAGGATGCAATCAGAGTAGTTCCCCTCACTGGCATTGCCCTACTGGTAAAATACAGGGTATAAGAACACAGCCCAAGTCTGAGTTAATGCTCCAGCACTATGTTAAAATTACAAAGAAACCTCTGAACTGTTCCAGTTTGTCAGCATTAACTTATCTTGTGGCACAGGGCTGTATAAAAGCCCTTAGGATAGATCAGTGAGGACGTAACAAAGCCCTCACTGGGTCTGGCCTGACGTTGCCACTTGCTTACAAAGACCCCAGTGCCCTCAGTGTGGTGCTACTCTGGGTCACTGCACTGCAGGAAACGCTATCCTTCCATCCAGGTCTTTAAGTGAATGTAAGATTTCAAGCAATTCCACAACTTTCCTGATTTCCACATACACAGGCAAGCTAAACCACAAAGCTCCGCACTGAACACGATGAGGATACAGCACAGATAAGGAATCCTGCAAAAACACAACTTCTGTATTGCTTTACAGTGTCTGTGATACTGGCTAAAAATCACAAGTGCTGCTGCTTCAGCCTGCCATTGGCTGAAGATGATCAGATCGGTTCGTTGAAAGTAGAATCCTGACCCCACCTAGCGGTAAAACGCAGCTGGGCCTCACGGATATCCCACTCCTTGACAGCTGAGGTACAGCAAAACCTAACTTCTTTGACTACCTGCTGCATACAGCCAAAAATCACCAAGCACCAAGCCTGCTGGTGCAGACTTGCCTGCTGCAGCCTGAAGACCACTGGGATTTTCCTCTCGGTGCAGGCGGCAATGAAGTTGTCCGGCAGGAGCTGGCCCGCTGACAGGAACTGGTCGTCTTTGCCTTGGTCGATCAGGATGTCCAGGCGAGAGTCTGGATAGGACTTCACAAGTTGTGTAGCATCGTATGCCTGCAGAAATAAAAGAGAGACAACGTTCAATTCTGTGTGTTAGACTGGGTCAAGTTTGCTGACCACAAGAAAAGAATCAGGACATCACGTTGAACTTTGGAAGAACGATCAGGCTCTCATGCACTTCTCTATAACGAGAGGTTGGAGGAAGAAAAAAAAAAACAAAAAACAAACAATTCTGCTTAATGACAAAAGAGGAATTTGGGTATAAATCAAAGTTAGGAAATTAGCAAATAGAGTATGCAAAAAGTAAGGAGAAAACATTTGTTTTGTTTCAACCACTCTAGTCCAGAACAAATGTTTTTTTACATCAGTAACAATGCTGAAAAAAATATATATAAATATCTCTGTTCCACACTTGAAAAGCAGCCAGCTGATGGATTCATACGTCACGAATTTTCCCCGTAGACATAGACTCACCTGAGCGCTGTGTCTATGGCATAGAACAACCCTTGCACATACTACACGGTGATTTTAGGCAGAAATACAGAGATGAGTGGTTGCATATCTGTGTCAAAGGCCTGCCTGAGTCTATTCCTGATGCCTGCTGTTGATATACCGGACTGGGTTTGCAGAGGAGCTTCAAAGTGAGTTAAGGAGCCAGAAAACACACTTCTAGCAAAATAAATCCATTCTGCTAAATTTAAGGAAGTTTAATTGTCAATTTTAAAATATATAAACTATTTAATTAACAGCTAGTGCTCTTTATTCCTGTAGTATTTATTTCGAGCCTGAATATCTTCCCAAGAGATATTTTAATCCAATTTACAAGGGATTTATCTGCAGCTTGGGTTTATACATAAGGAAACTGGAATACCTGGTCACAGTGATCCTTCTAACTTATATCTAGGGATACAGCACAAAGTTTCTGCTGCGACTAAAAATACTGAAGGTATTTCAGTAATACCTTTTTTCTTTTAAATCTTTTAAAATTCTCACTGCTTCCATGCATTACAGAAAGTCTCAAACTGCCCATACTTCTTCTAAGCCCACATCTTAAGATCTTCATAAAACAAGGAAGAATTAAGTCAATTTGATGAGAGCCTCCTATTTCACTACATTTGTTATAAGCACCATCAGGCAACAAATAGCAAGACAGACCCACCAGACGTGTGCAATGCTTATCCATGCTTAGGAGGGCAGCAAAAGAGCAATACCAGCTCAGGAGCACCCCAGAATTGTGTTGCCAGCCTCCTGCTGCATTTACAGATCACTCGTTGATGCATTTTAAAGGCCTGTGAGTTCCAACACCTACCTCCCATTTGCTTGCATCCGATCCCAGATATCCGCCAAGGGCTTTCTTCCCCCACTGACACTGAATAGGGTTGCAGATAGGAGCAAAAGCCGACACAGACTGTTGAGAAAGAAAGTGCGAAATAAAACAACACATGAGTTAAGAAAAGTGATTTCTGATAACCAAGAAGCAAACCAAAAACCTTTTAAAAAGCTGTTTGAAGCTACCGCCAGAAACCAGGACTGCCACCAACCATCTGAGCTAGGTGTCCTAACCATTGTACTACTTCCCCTTTTTTTTTTTTTGTCCCTGTATTTTATAACAGTTAAATTGGAAGAACTTCATCTTCAAGAAGAAATTGAACTTAGCTTTTAAAATTTGCATTTATTTTATTTATTTATTTATTTATTTATTTATTTATTTTCAATTTCACTAATGTCAAATACTCACACATTCCAGAGTAGTGTTTCTGGCAATCTTCCTTATTCTAATAATAAGTTATCAATGAACTACTACAACTAAAACTATGCATGTATTTAACACTGTAACAGAACTT